GGACGATGGAGATCATTTATATGAGAGGCTACATTCGATCTTAGCGAAGTGCTCAGTAAAAAACCTGACTACCCTGATGGGAAAATTGGATGCTTATATCAGAATGGACGACATCGGGTATCAAGATATCATGGGACGACATGAACTGGGAGGAAGGAACAAGAATGGTGACATATTTGCAAAATTGTATTCACCCAAAAATAGTTATAGATGATACAGTGTCCCCCCAAAACACACAAAAATATAAAAGGGTATCACCGGACTAGACTACACATAACCAGGTCGATTATATTTTATTATTAATATTCACGAACGGGTTATGGGTACACAAGTGTTGTGAAGAAACCGTTTCGGATTTCTTCAAAAATACAATAACACACAAGTTTCAATAATGTTAGCATTATATATGCCACATTTGAAAAAGAAATAGAGAAATTACCGATAATAATAATAAATCAGGTTCTGTAAAATTGATAAGAATATTAAGTTACTTTAAAAACACTAAAACATTCAGGTCAGTGGAAGATTTGAGAACCAGGAGAGAAGCTGACATAGTTCTACATTGTCACCTAGTTGTTGCAAAGATGTGTAACAGCTCAGGTTGGTTGGTTAAGAGTTGACCCCAAACAACCAAGCTTATGCCAAAACAGTATTGTTCAAGTATTCATTCACTTCCTTATTTTTCATAAGCGTTATATTCCCTATTATCTTGAATGTTGAGAGCCTTTGTTTGTCTGAACAGATAATCCCACGCTCCACTGCGACTGCGCAAAGATCGAAATAAAGACATATTCACTACTTCTCTGGTTTCTTCTATCAATAGCACGAGGGTTACCTTAAGGCACGAAACTGGTGAGCCCTTTTTGAACACAAATTTAACCTCATTTCTGTTATTAACATTTTTTTTACTTAATCTTAAAAGTAGACCTGATTATCCGTAAACTAATTTGAGTATATAACTAGTTTATTCCGTATTATCTTAAGTTATTCGTGTTATAGTAACCACTTTTTGTGCTAACTTTATTGCTATATTTGTCACATACCTCATGTCAGACTCAATAGAAACCCATAATCTGGAGGATTTGTCACCAGTGGAGATAGACACTGTTATGACTACGAAATCCCGACTTCCAGAATTTGATCGTAGTGATCCTGAGTTGTGGTTTGCTCAACTAGAGCATTATTTTACGAGACACAATATCAAATCTGAAGGGATTCGCTATAGAGACTTGTGTTCTATCCTTCCTCCTTCAGTCGCCAAAGAAGTCCGTGACTTGATTTTAAGTCCACCATCACCACAACCATACACCATCTTAAGACAAGGCAAAGATGTATCTGAAGCGAAAGAAGAATTGGACAACTGGACAAACAGCATTACAAAGGTTCAATACAGCGTTCCTTCGAGATACTAACAAACTCGATGAATTCATAATAACTCCCGACAACGGGTTTCAAGCCCAACAAGTCTACTCAAAGAAAATCACAGTACCATGGAGGACAATTGAAAAGGGATCAAAGAAACACTAACTTCAACGTGTCAGGAGGTTCTAAGCCACAATTAACATCATCATGTGGAACAGATTTCGATCGAAACTCTGGACAAGATTCAGGAAGGAAAGAACAAGAAGGCAGCAACTAACAACAGCTGAACAATAGCAAAGTAAGCCGATGCACAAGCTGAATACACTGAAACAAACAATCAAGTGAAGAGCCTTAGTGTCGACAAGTAGTAATATGTAAAGGACCTAGCGGTGAGAACAAAAAAACTGCGAAATATGGAAATATGGGACAGAGGTATGATATAAAGAAAAAAATAGCTGAGAAATGCTGTAAACTAGGGAGAACAGTCAAGCATAAGTAGGGCAAGCCAATCACTGAGATCCAAGCACATAAGAACAAACGGAAAGAGCACTATGAAAAACTTTTGAAAAGACCAGTCCAGCTGAACAAATCGGATATCGAAACTACAAACAGACATTTTTACGGACGAAACTTTACAAGATATCGAGGAAATTAGCATGGTCACTAAACAAATCAAAGTAGGAAAGTAGCAGGGCCAGAGAACATAACAGCTGAAGCAGTGAATTCAGACAGAGATGACGGTATAGTTGCTCTACGTTCTATTCAGTAGAATTAATGATGGAGAACATGTGCCAACAGACTAGAAAAATGTACACCTCCTCAAGATACCAAAGAAAGTAGACTTGAGCAAACGCGAGAACTAGAGAGGCATCATATTACTATCGGTACTACGAAACGTTTTCAACCGAGCGTTGCTTAACCGAATGGAAGATTCAGTAGACGCCCACTACGAGATCAACAGGCCGGATTCAGCATATACGGGGCACGTATTGCAGAGTTCACCAGTCTACATCACGAGACGAGCCCTATTTTGGAATCTTGAAGGGAAAGGGACCAAAGTAAGCAATAAGTATGGAATTGAAGGCAGACATCAAAAGAATGAATAGAAAGTTGGGACAACTGGAACCGAAAGCCTAGGATAGAGTTCAAAGGAAAATTCCGGTCGACGACAAATTCTCTCACGAAGGGTAACAGGCTCAGGTACGCGTATTCTAAATGGCTAAATATCAATTATGAAGAAGATAACTGCATACTTCGTTGCACCAATGATTGATTACTTATCATCTAATACATCAGTTTGCACCCCCTAGAATATTTAGTTGGTTTCGCCTTCTGAAGTATATGACTTGATATTAGAGGATCTCTTTTGTTCAGTCAGTCAACATGATTATTTCAGTAAATATACAGATGAAGTCATCACACAATATCGTTACGTCAACACTTGCTCATCAAGTTTAAACACTACGTTTATTTCGTATCACAATTCTTGTAGGTACTTGGACTAAACGAAAATTTTACGTTCAGATATGAAGTAAAACTATATCTCTTACATTCCGACCAACTGTTCAGTCACACATAATTAAAACAAAAAGTGCGTTAGACTAATCAAAACGTGCTATTCTACTACGTTTCAGATACTTATAATGATACATAGATTAACTGCATATAGTATCATATTCAAAAATTTATTAAGCACATTTGTTTAAATACATTTATGGTTTATACATTTCTGTTTGTTACGCATTATTCAATACCGAGATAAGGGACTATGAAAATCGCTTTAATGTTATTTAGCGAATCGAAATCCAGCAAATATCCACTCACGATAAACCAGTTTTACTTCTCTCAGCCATAACAATAGTCAGTCGTTATCCGTAGAAATGCAAGCAGAAGCATGGATCATTGAGATAAATTTTAACGGAGGGGAACATAAAGTGAGCATCACCGTGGGAATGACACGATCAACTCGCTATGGACCATTGCTGTTAAAGGAACACTTGAATACAACAGTACACGATCGGATCCTATTAACGTGTCTACCATCCCTTGCTCATAGATATCTAGATGTTCACGTGTCCATCATATTCACCATGATGACTTTGTTTATAATCGACTAACTCAGTAGATCACAAGTCCCTAAAATCTTCGTTTCGACCAGTTGACTTTTAACCACTTGATTGTCTGATCTATTCCGAATTCATATTAAAAGACCGACTGATTCGTGATTGACCTGAAACACATACTCCTAGAGATTATCTGGCAAAACTAGTTCCCCTGCACGCTTATATAAGGAAAAACAAGGATCTTATTAAAATGTAGTTAATATATAGGAATGGATATATCTATCCTCATTGTTTGTCACATCGCAAAATACATACATTAGAGAGGATCGGATAAACAGAAATATAATTGAGGTAAACTAAAAACCAACATGAAGTATTGGTTGATATTTTTCCGACCTTTACATATTGCAGGACAGTCAAGTAATGAATTGCTTTATGAGTAACACAGGTTAAGAAAGACATACAAATATTCAAAGCTAGACAAATACATATGATTCCAAGACTGCCTTTTCAGAATGACTCACATTAGAAATGCCGACTATCAAGTCCCAGTGATGATTTAAATGTATTTGTTGGGATATTCCGAAAAATACCCCAAAAATCATCCTGTTAAGTCTAATGCTATCCTCGGACTTGAAATGGTATCATTCTCCTATTGGTTAATATTTATTTCAGGTGTCATTTTCCTGTTGGCCAAATATTGTACAAATGTTATTTTCTATTTTATGGTACGATGTGGTCTTGAAGATGCTACAGGTATTCAGAGTTTGACAACGCTTTAACCAGTAACACCTTCTAATACGAAGCGTACCCACCAAGTGAAATCAAAAGACAGAAGCAAGGAAGCTTGGAGATATATTTGATATGCTATCAATATATCGAGAATCATCTAATCTAAGCTGACTAGCGATTGTAGGAGTTGTTGAGCACGGCGTTCCCACTCGTGATCTAGTGCGGATGCATGACCGAGCGCCTTCAGCTAGATGAGTCCATTAAAACTAATGTGGTCAGCATCCAATGTCAAAAACTTACAGAGCTATTTATTTTGAGGATTTATTTACCGCTACAGTCTGTTTGATTGGTATATAAACTCAATATGCTTGAAATATAATGATTCATATCGCAGAGGCTGAGACTTGTATTCTGAACTTAACTGGCTGGGTTAAACTGGAAGCAGGGCTAATCAGGACTCTAGACTGCTTATATGGTTTTACACATCATTGATCCGATTGATAAGTCACTACGGTCACAAGTTATAACAGTATTTTACTTGATCTCTTAAATGAAAACGATATCCTTGATGAGACTATTAGATAACCCCTTATAAAATCGACTCTTTCAGTAGATATTCTGCAACGAATAGTGTTTTCATATCAACTCTATTTTCTTATAAATAATAAGAATAGTCAATAATATTATGTAATTGATGATTATCTTTTGTTAACATTTTATTCCTGTAAAAATAAATGAACGAATGATAGATTTTATTATGTACATAAACATACATGAAATAAGGGTAGAAAATAAACAAATCTAAATGGGTACATACAATGTATCATTAAACTGATATTATGATTATAAACTATGAAAAATAAGCATAACAATCAATGGTATAACTAAATTATCAATTTGATCAATATATGCTTCAATAAGTACACCGATGAATAAAGGAATAATACCGGTTAACCAATACCATGAATAATAATATGATATTATTGTCCATGCAATCATCTAAATGATGTAACAATATAATTAAAAAAAAGGATGATGTATTCAAGAAATGAGTCATTTGAACATGTACTTGATATAAAGACTAGAAGGAATTGTTAAGAAGGCTTTGTACTTCATTGTTAGTATCACCAATTCCAATGCCCCTCAAATACCCTGGTATGGCCGAGAGTGGAATGGGCACGCTCTCCCTCTTGAAATGCTCTCACATGGGTATATAGCCTCTGGCAGGGAAGTCCTACTCACTGACTTCTCGTGGTGGGGGTGTTGTTTATGAAAATGAGAGGACGAAAAGAGAATGTCTGGCGCTTTAACCGAATCCCAAACCAATGGTGCACATGGGCTCCAGGATCCTGAAGGAACAAATGGTGTATAAACCAATCGTTGGTCACCTGCTACCATGGGACTGCATCTCCTTACGATGCTCCACTGCCTTGTGGATCAGACCTTCAGGTCGAAGGCTCGGGGAGTGGCCTTCTAGGAAAACCACCTGCTTCGATCTGGGCACCCGGGCAGTATCACAGCCCACACACAAATATGATGAAATTTATGTGGCGCATATATATTTGGTGTCCTCTTGTACCAATATTTATGTGTTCAAATAAAAAAATTTAAAAAAATATCCTATAGCAACACATTGACACAAATCATTGGATTAACTCTAAAACAGCTTACAGTACATATAACTGGGAAGATTTGAATTATGGATTTCGTAACAGTAAAATCACTTGATGAAACGAATGAAACTGTCTATTACCTGATGTCAATTGTAAACGATTGTTGCTCTGGAATGAAATTTTTTTATTTTACCCAACTTTATACACTAAGTTAGAAAAAGATCACTTTTCCGCATAATTGGTTACAAGCGAGAAGAGAGCCAAGCACAAATTCCTTAATTCTATCCATCACTCAGTAAGTTAAACTCAATGCAGAACACAGAACATATGTACGTTGGTTCAAGTTACCATAAGTCAATTTAGCACAGTGAGATGATATTGTCAAGACAAATCTCATCCGCTCATCATCAAATGGCGGATATTTAGAAATTTAGTGTCTTCAAGGCAACAAACTGATAGCAGGAAACATTTCAAACTAAATTATTACAAATAATTAGATAAGTTTCTAGTGCGTTCGAAATATTTGTGAACAATCTGATGACATTATTTTAATGACAGAAAAATGCAAATACGAATCCAATATTATTTTATGAACTGAATCAGTTGAACTCATTTGTATTGGTTATTTGGATCTTCTCATTGATATTTAGGACTGAAATTAATCAGTCTCTTATTGGCAAATGTACATCCTGCACGCATTACCTCGACATTGCCATTAAGTCACAATCACTATAAGCACAGACAGATGATAGTTAGCATTGATATTCAGGACGCCCATTTGCCTTATTTGGGACTTGTTAGCTGGATGTACCTGCACTCAAGAGTTGAACAGTTGCATTCCTGAACATCAATGGGAGGATTCAAACAACCAATAGAAATGAATTGAATTTTACCTTATTGCACAACCTAACCCCAGTGCCTACCTGGATTTAGTAGCTAAGTAGAAAACTCCATGGCGTTTGATGTGAACAGTGCTGAGCTTGAGTCCCGGAGTGAAAATCAACTACAGAATGCAGACCTACCTAGCTAACGAGTGCCAAATGGGACGAAACTCGTGTTGCAAATTTGACTGCTAGCCACTTTCCATCTCCGCTGATAATTATCGATTACTTATTACGCGGAGAGCTGGGATAGATTAGTGGGAAGTACTAATTCTAAATGACACTATCATAGTTTTGATTACAAGAAATACTAAATGTATTTTCTACGACTGAAACTTATGAAGTTTCTAGACATTCAGCAAGTCCATTGATCTTGACGACTTCGATTAAACGCAGATTTCTTGCACAGAGAAAGTAAAAGCAAAATTCCGACTTCCGTTAATATAGTAATTTACTAGTAATGCAAACAATACTTGTATCATGTATACATTCAACAAGAGAAACCAGAATATTTCGATGGTGTTGTGAATTCTTGAGAATTTAATTAAATCATTCGACAAATGATTTAATTTGTTTAATCTGGTTAGTGTTTTTACTATGGGATGGGGTTACCGACCCCGTGCCCAACCCTCCATCTTTACCCGGGCTTGAGAACGGTAGTAACTCTAGAAGAGCTACAGGCAGATATAAGTCATATCCTAAGGATGACGGGTTATGATAATACAACCTAGTCACCTAAACCGAAGTAAGTCGAGCGGGGTTTGAACCGAGGAGTTAGTGGCTGAACGTTGAGTGCACCATAACCAATAAGCTCCAGGTCCGCTAAATTGGGGCTATCCAGCCACTTTAAGAGAATTGGGTTTCAAGAGCTGTACTGTAGGAAATACCCTCGGTGTGAGAAATACACGGACAAAACTTTTCAGGCAAAGGCTACATTCATTAAGCCACGACTCGAACACAACGCACCACAGCATGCCGATCAAGTCATCTAGACCGGACTAGGCTATGGCCGGATTATTAGGACGGAGCCTTTGACCAGCAACCCACGTTAATATACGGGTATACACGCCAGCAGGCACTCGCCCAATCCATGACTTAATGTGCTACTATACTAAAGGGTCCGAACACTGAAAGCCTCGAAATATAGTTTGGGGCCCGGTTTCAGGAGACTTAAAATGACAAATCTACATTGAAACATTTTTATAGGAAGCATTGGCTCTCACTTTTTTCAGTCGTACCAATGGCACATGGAAGGATTTCTTGACAAATCACAGTAGCGAAATCTTTAGATTATTACGAAAATAATTCAGTGTCAATAATGAGTTAAAGATTGAACTTAGTGAGGAGATAAAAATAACGACAATCCAGTGGATCATTCAACAAAATTTTCTTAACATTAAATCAATGCATGCCTATATTACTACTATATACACAAACATACATACATACTTGAGAAAAGAAAGAAGCGAAAGATCCTAGATATGTTCGATGTGATCCAGGCCAACGACGCTTACCATAAGCTCGTCCAATTAATGCAGCAAAACTATCGCCTATAGCTATTGATAGAACTCCTGACCATGATGACGGCTTCACATCCAATTCGTAACATAAGTTGCCTGGTTATAAATTTTAAAAAGCTTATTTACGAAATCTATGCATTGACTTAAGCTTATGCGTATAATAATAGATATTCGAATATTAATAACACTTAATTTAAAAAAAAAAACAGAATTGATCAAACTATTTAACTGAATGGTTTCATAAACACAGTTACTAAGCTCTAAGTCAGGTTGCCAAAAAAATTTTTTTAACTACACACTAACAACTAAAGAAACTCATACATAGTTGCTCAGTCATCAGTGTTAATGTCATTTTATCAATAGTACGAGTGCCAATGTGCACAGTTTTTCACTGATACTTGATAGTTGAAAGTCATTTCGCTTGTCTTAATTCATGCTATAAAGTTCAAACATTAAAATATTTCACTGGTTGAAATCATGAGTCAATCGAAGCTAGACCACCATGGAAAACCTGGAAGCACTGAACGGCTGTTTTGTCTTAGTATTGGACTCCTAAGCAGTACGCATCCACGATCCCACACCCCGCGAGATTCGAACCCAGAACCTATCAGTCTCGCGCCAGGCGCTTAAACAACTAGACCACTGGGCCGGCATCCAACGGTGTTATTGTTTAACTTCAACCAATCCACGAAGTTGCGCCACCGCAAACCATTGTCTTCAGTGAGTTAATATCTCACAACAGATACGGTTGAACTCCACTAGCCACGGCTTCTCACCAGAACTCTAGGAAATAACTCTTAGAAACAGTCACTAGTGAGCATATGATGATTATAATCGGACAGGGGTTTTGAAATCCATATGGAGTTAGTCACTGATGAACATACTAATATATAATCTTCACAATTCAACTGTATATTTACTAGTAATTAGCATAGCAACTGAAAAAGTGGTCATCGTGTATAGATCTTGTCAGATTATTGCTTTACTAATTGCATATATATTAACTAATTTGGACGAGGTAGAGCATTAGTTGTGACCACCGGACACAAAATTGTGCTCAGGACTGTTAGTTTTCTTTCTGTACGAACATGATAACTTTCGAAACCACTAGTTTAGAATTCGATAATTTACATCCATGAATTCAGTCAATTCGCATTATATAGCGATGTAACGATCATCCAATTCTCCTGAACTTATTCTCCAATGAAACACAACCCAAAATGCCGGATAAAAGATACAAGTACAGTAGACGTTAGTATTTGAAATGAAATCTCTAATAAAAAATATGCTTCGAAATTCAGAACTTATTCATTAAAGGAAAGGAGAGACGACTGAGTGTTAGATACGATACCCTCGGGGTACATGGAAAACGACGGGTAACGTCAGCCTCTAATCGTATTAGTGACATGGTTCAACTCCAACATGAATCACTTGTCAGTAGAAATTCTGGAATCCATATGGAGCTAGTCACTGATGAACAGATTATTTCTCTATCATAAGAAAATCTATAGAATTTGCAAACTAAATCGACACTTCACAATTAGGATAGTTTTTTTTTAACCACAAGCCCATGAATGTTAATGAATTGTGATCTAAAAAACAAAAGAATCAATCACCACTGAACTACTTCACTAACCTATAAAAATACTAGCTAAATACTACTTTCGTCTATAAGTAGACTTAGTGTTTGATATTTGATGGGTCAATGTTTGGATTTACACAACAAGGATTGAACTTAGTGTTAGTAATTATGATCTTGTATACTGTTAAAAATAGCAGTTCTAAAGTGATTTACAAAGAGTTGAATGTGCTCTATATTTTATTGTTGTACTTTTGTAGATAGTTGTCAGTTTTTTTTTCATAAAGCCTTAAATGCCCTGTTACGGTCGAGGTTGGAGAGAGTCCGCTTTCCCTCTCGAAATACTCCCACATGGCAACGCGTATATAGCCGTTACCAGGGAAGTCCTACTCACTGCCTTCTCGTGGCATCACTGTTGCTTACGAAATTGCGAGGAAGAAAAGCGAATATCCAGTGCTTTAACCGGGTTTGTGGACGTGGAGGATCCACCTAGGGGAGTTGGAAAACTCTGATTCCAAACCAATGGTGCACATGGGCTCTAGGATCCTGAGGGAGAAAATGGCGTGTGAAACTACTGTTGGTCACCGACTACCATGGGACTGTATCTCCTAACGTTAATCCATTGCCTTGTAGATTAGACCTTTAAGTCAAAACCTCCAGGTCTGACCCTCTAGGAAAACCACATGCTTCGGTCTGGGCACCCAGGCAGTATCACAGACCTCACAAAAATCAATGATAACTACTACTGGCCTCATTTTTATTATGTGAAGCTTATGTATTCGGTGCCCCCATGTACCAATGTTTGTGTTCAGTTCAAATAAATAATTCTCTTAAGTAAAATGTTCTATAAAACCGATAAACTTTAATTTACTTACCAATACTAATTATACTCCCATTAGTATTTCTATTTTGTGGCCACCAAACAGGAATACTTAAACCGAGTAAAAGAGCAATAGGTGTGAATAGAATGTCACCAGAATCTCGTTTATCACGAAATGGATTAACCAAAGTACTAAGGTAGGAGGAAAGAGTAGATGGCTACAATTTAGAAATGAAAGTTTAAAAACAATTTCTAGTTTAAGTATTACATTGAAAACTTGTTTGAAATTATGTACAATTACGTCAGCTTATTGCCCAGAGTAACTTATTATGTATCACATTTATTAAGTACAGGTTTATGCAATTGGCCTCGATTTATATTGTTTTTCGTACGGTTAAATGATGTTACTCAGTAGACTAAAATGAAGTAGATGTGACCGAGTTCGAGTCGTTGACTTACTGACCGAAACCTGAGTACCTTAATATTTAAATGACAATGATATATTAGTAGACTAAGACTAAAATAAAAAGGAAATTTTACTTAAATGATAAAAATCAGATTGATGACTGGATAATTGAGTTAAGTTTAACAGTTAATTAGATGGTCCTATTTTTAAATTATTTAGACAAGGATAAAATGATCTGGATAGGAAACGAGTACAATGAAATGTAAATATATTTAAGACTATCACACAACAGCCGCCTACTTGAGATAAAATGAAACTGGAACAAGGTTAGTAGTCCGGTCTATTAAAACATCAATTTAATCACTAGATACCTTCTCTAATAACTGAATCACATATGTTGTGTGAAACGCCAGATCGGTGGAATACGATGATATAAATTAATTAATATTTAGAGGAGAAACACTATTATTCTCACAACTGAACTGGGTGAAACACCTAAGCGTACTCAACAAAAAGGCTGTTTGTAGTAATTATGCTTTAAAAGCATACAAATGATAAGCATTACAATCTGAGCAATAGAATTTTAAAAAACTGAAGATAGAACAAGACAGAAACAGCATTATATATCTCAATGAATACTAGGTGCGCGAAAAACTCAGATTTTTTTTAATATTCACATGGAGAACCACAAGGAATTAATTAATCCAAGATTTGATTCAGACAGACAACCGGGAAGTGATAACCGCCCTCATACCTCTAACAGCACTCAAGACCACTGACTGATTCAGACAGGTAATATAACCAAAGAATTGTTATTAAATGTTTTTTTACACTAGACCGTGAACATATATTTACTCATTAGCTAAATCCTACCGCAATAATTTGATCTTCAACATGAGTATGATTTAGTTTTCCCTATAATAGTATCTTAATTATCATAATACATAGATATGAACTGTAGTAACATCATACTTTATCATTAATTTAAGAAATTTTCATCGTGATTAAAAAAACCATGAACAACTAATTTTATCAAATGATCACTGACGTACATTTATTGTATTTACGGTTTATGAATAAGCTGAGTGACGGGAGATATTTTTCTACCAACCAAAGGTCGAGTTTATTATCCAGCAGTACGTTCTCTTTTAATTTATGGATACAAAATATGGTCATTAAGAATAGATGATATTCGTAAGCTATTAGGTGGCTTCAAAGCATGGTCTGTATATTTTAAGACTACCGAGTGAGTAATACTGAGATTAGGCATAGGGTGCTAGGTAGAAATTGAAATTCGATTAACCAGGTAGTGAATCTTGATCGACTGAGGTGGTTGGGACATGTACTATATATCTCCAACAACCGAATACCTCGAAGGGAGGTACTGTCTGGTGTAGGAGTAGTCTGGGAGAAAATTAGGAGGATTAAGTCGAAATGTAGCACCAGTTTATGAGGTCAGTGACAGTTATACTGAATCATGCAGATGGATATAAACTACGTGGTTGGGATCGGCGTTTCAGCCATCACCAGTGGTTGGAGATTTTTGATGACGTGGTTTACAGTCGCTTGCAATGGCATAAATGAATTCACTTCTTGTTTCCTCTTGGATCCTGAGTCCCAGAATCGTTTACTCTCCTCTATTACCATTACTAATACTGCTACTACTTTTACTACTCTGACACTTGCCTTGATAATTCTCTCTGGCCATGTTGATACGGTGTGACAACTAAAACCGATGCAGATATGTATCATGCCCTATGTTGCAGAGGGCTGGAGTACTATTCTATATAGTTCCACTTTATACTAATTTCGTAGTTATAGGATAAAGTAGATTTGTCGGTTACTAATACGTATCCTTAGTATATAATATATGTGTTAGTTGTTACAGAATTCAACTAAGTATAACACAAAAGGTCTGGCATACATTTAAGAATAAAAGGATAGGTGATCAGTTCATAGCATTACACTAAATTTTGAGGAATAGCTCTGTAAGACTCACGTCTGTTGATTTGTCACGACTCTTTTGAAGAGATTCTAAAAATCACCCAACCTGATGGCCTAAGGATTAAAATAGAAGTCAATGATGACTCTAAGGTCGTTTTCAGTTACACTACCCCTGAAAGTAAAACGAAATCTCGTAAGTGAAAAACACTTGTCTAAGCCGTCTTTAACTGTAGTGCCTTCCAAACAATATTGATTATATAACCTGTCATCACTTTATTACTTCAAAATATCATTCTAAATTGTGTAATACATCCTTTTAGAGGTGTTATATGAAATTTTCTGTGTTGTTATGCACAGTACATGTTGAAACAAATACGACCACACTAGGAATACCCTGACGGACAATCTTCCTTGGTTGAGTGGACGCCCTGTTTAAAGCCGTGATGGCTTTTGCACAGGTCTTTATCTGTTAGATACGACTACATCAGAGTAAATTCTACGACTATTCTCTACCGTTTAGCTTTGGTGCTAAATAGGTAGATAAGTAGGTAACAATCCAGTCTGACAAGACACTACAATGCACTTGACAAACAAGCCCCCGTGTGATTACATTGAGTATCGATCTCAAAACCTACTTGTAATTATAATCATAATCAACGTACTCTAACTAAAAGTATCAACAAACTTACCCCTCGCCTTCGGATCCATTCAAAACACCAAAATACAATAAGTAATGCGACAGACATCAATGAAAGAAGATATGGTGAATAGAGCAAGCCAGATGAATATACAATACCAGCAGCAAAATGAAATAGTTTACGAAGTTGAAACGTTTCTTCTTTGTCATCATATAATAAATCACACGTTGTACGACTATTTCTAATGAATTCATTTTCGCTAAATAATTCATAATATTCACTTTGGTCAGACAGGCTCAATTCATCGGATAATACAATTGAACTATCACAAAATTCTGGCTTAACTGTACTACTATTCATGATTCGATAAGTGTTATGATCAGAACAACGATAAACAATAGTAATATAAACACATAGCATAAATAAGCATAGCCAAAATATCAATAAAATGAAATTAGTTGACACAATAAAGCATTCAATTTGATTGATAATGAAACTAGTAGCTATCTTTACACGACAAGCGTAAATCCAAAAGCATCCAGTCAAAATAGTAAGTGTTATTAACACAAAAAAAGCAATTTTCACTGAGAATCTAATACAATATCGTTCAATTAGAAAGAGTATTAAAAATGGTACTACAAAATTACATTCAGTAAGAAGAAATATTGCAGAAAGTTGAGCAAGTAGTATAGTTTCACCAAACGTAAACGAAAAAGGGAATAGACTTAGTAATTTGTAAGAAAAAAATAAAACAAACATAACTGTAAACAAAGGGCGAATCACCGTACTAACATGGTGAAAATGTTGACAATTCAGCCATATACATATAGGAATGACAGCATGTTTAAAATGACTATTCTTCGTTAAGAAAAGTACAGTAATTAAAGATAGAAAAAATTCGTAAGCGAGTGCTTTATTGTCTGTTTTAAGTAATAAAGCAGGGACGATAAGTCCCAACCATAATCCGGAACTAGCATCTTTTCTTGAAGTTTTTAACAGACGATGATAAGTCAACATGGTAAATAAACGTTGTACGTATCTAGAGGTGTAAATTATTGTATTTTGGAGCCAGATTTCATTTCTGCGGTGAAGAACACGATAAAATACTTTATCTTAGAGGTTTCAACAAATACATCAACCAGTTAATTTCATTGATAATTTTAATAATAGCTCTAAAAGGTTACACTTTGTGCATGGTTTGTTTAATCAAAAACCTATTCAATTTACAAGAGACTCCGTAAAATACAAAGTGTGATAAAGAGACATACTTTTTCGAATCCCTGTGTAATAATTTGACACACTGGTCTTCAAATTTACTAGACCCGGGTGGATTGATGGAAGATTAAATCTAAGCTCCAGTATGAGTAATTTGAGATGGGTAACTGATTGTAAGACCGAGCATAAACGCATATTCCTACTATCTACAAACTCCTATAAAAGCGGGAAGCGAAACCATTTATGAGATACCGAAAACATATTGTCTATAAACACTGTATTTTGTGAATTAGTCGTAGTCTCTGGATGCAAAATTATCTAAAAGCTTTAATCTACTGATAACATCCCAATGCTAAACCTCATACAAGTAGCACTAAGATGTTAAATGTGCAACAGTGGCCTGCTGATTAAAACCACTGTCTTAGAAACCACTAGATTACAGATTTGAACCCTGGTCCGTCTTTGTTTGGGTAGCGGGGCGTCATCCCTAGGCTCACATAATATGCCTCAAAGCTGAGTAACAAAATATGTACCAGACTTGTTACACTGAATCCTCCCGACGTACTCATACATGGTTAGCACGACGAGATAAAAAGACAGAAGTAATGTAGAAGTGACAAACCAGAAGATTAAGCATTGAGAATATTGTTTGACAAGACAGGAAAGTTCTGGATGAAGGGATACTGAAGTCTGAAACCAAGAGGTAGCTAGGGACTAAATGCATTTTATCCATTTATTTAAACACATTGGCACAAGGAGGCACCAAATATATATGCGCCACAAAAATAATTTGATTTATGAGGGCTGGAATAATACCCAGGCGCCCAAACACAAGCAGGTGGTTTTCTTAGGGAGATATTTTGCCTCGTCGTTGTGAATTATTCTGAGCTGTCATTTAAAGTCTCCGATCGCTGGTGGCGGTTATCATGTGGACTCAAACAAGTAGTTTGCATCTGCCTACATAGTTCAGACAACAGTCTGTGACTTTATAGGCTGATGCCACGTCCTTGTTTGGTCACCCCTATCTTTCTTCCAACCTAATACTGCACCAGCAAGCATTACTCTTTGAGGCAGGCAGTGATTGGTCCTACGTAACATATGTCCTAACTACTTTAGTCAGTGAAGATTTATAGACTCACCGACCAATCTGACACATTTGTCAGACATCAACATTGCTAACTCGGTCGTTCGGAGAAACGCAAGCAATGCTTCAAAGCTCCCATGATCAAAAACCATTCGGCCTACTCATATCTATTTTCATAGACTATCCTTCACAACAATAAAGTAGGATAGGACAAGTTACTGTCCAGTATACTTGTCCTTTAGTCGGTAGATGGACACTCCACATACACCACAAGTGACACAATTGACCAAAAGTCAACCGAACTTTCCGGATTCGTAACGCCACATCACCAGACACAAACACATCACAGCTGACTAGACCACTTAGATAAATGAAGTGGTCAATGAACTAAACTACTTCACAGACTATCATTAGTTTAGGTGTTGGTTTAGACCAGTCCTAAAGCAACATTTTGTATTTGAGAGACAAAACACATTTTAAATGATCTTGCGTTATTGCTCAGAGTGATTAGAAGACCTTGCACTTTGTCAGTGTCTTCACCAAGCAGAACTATGTGATCCTTGTGTTCTAAGTCAAGTGAATCATATGGTAGGATATTGAACTTCTGAAAAGGTGGTTGGAAATGTTATTACAACAAAGATCGCATTAATGGTTAAAGTAGGTGAGAATGGGGATAGTGGGTAGCTCTGGTGAACACCGGTTAGGTGTCGTGCTTCGAGTTTATAGGTACATCTAAAAGTTATTACACAGGGAAACCTAAATGATTTGAAGTTTGATAATACCACCTCGTATCACTACCGTTCAACAACCTAACTAACATACAACCTGAGTAACGCTTAAAACCCAAATCAGCGCTCTTCAAATGCGAAGGCGCTCTCATGAGTCCAGCAAGTTTGCATGAGCAGACTTCGCTGAACAGAACTAACGACTGAGAATAAACTCCACTCTCATTCGTAATTTTGACGCCGCACCTGACAATCAATCAAAATGAAGTGGGTGTCATATTTGATTCTATAATGAACCATGAAGACGGGTGTTTTGTTCTGTTGTTTTTGCTAACTTATCAATGTAACAGCAATGTTCGGTGTTTCAGCGTTTCGGGATATTGTAATTTATGTGACGACTAAAATTGTAGCGGTTAATTTAGGTGTTTTGTCGGGCTAAGATATACTTCGTAAAATCCTTATAAGTCATGAACTTGTAGTGACTCACATTTATCACGAGAACACGACTGGTTTAATAAAAACAATTATTATTATGACCAACTGTACCAGTGTTTGTTTTAATGTGCTTTTGTTTGACTGTGCTAATGACAGCTATATTGTGCTTCCATTCCTATACTCACACTTGGATTGTGACTTCGCGCGAATTCGGTTACGTTCTGTAACCAAGCTTGTATTCTGGCACGATCTCGGTATCCTTTCGATACCACGAGATCGCCAGCAAATATATCTCGACTTGGTCTATTAACTGTCTTCTGATATTTGGCTTCTCGGGGATTTTATGGATTTATTTGGTTACGTTCAACCTACGCCTTCTGATTTACTTGGCACATGTTTCTTGGTAGCGGTGTTTATAGTTAATCTCAACTCGACACCACGCTACAAACTTGTAGCTTTTTTTCCATTTCTGGATTTACATTCCTGTAGGTAAATGTCTTTTATCATGCATACTTCTAGATGTAGTTCACTAGGTAAAAACGTCTGTCCCCTGATAAAGACAAAAGCAAATATTGGAGGCATTTTGGCCAAGAGCATATAATTTTTAATGTAATTAACGGTAGCACATGCGAGTATCAAGTCATTTCTCGTGAATATGAGGTTGGATTAGACAGAATATCGTTAAATCAGGCGGAAAGCAGACAATAACAGCCAGTATTCATCGTTAATTTCAAAATATTCCAATCTATGCTCAGATAAAGCGGAAAAGTCTCATAACTAACCCATGGCAGGCGACAAGAAAGACTTTTTGGCGAGTCTATCTCAATTTCTTCCTTATTTCTGTAGTGGGAAATAAATCACTAAAATAAATAGTCTTGTAAGTCTTCGACGTTTGATGCTGACCCCATTAGTTTTGATGGGCACATCCAGCTGAAGACACTTGGTCATGCATTCGCAACAGATCACAAGTGAGCATACCTTGCTACGGATTTCTTACAATCGTTACCCAGCTTAGATTAAACGCTTCCCAGCATATCGATAGTTTTTCAAATACATCCACGAACCTCTTCATTTCTGAATTCTGGTTCGACTGTATTGGTTCACTTCTTTTAGAAAAATTTGACGTATAAAGGCGTTGTCAAACTCCTAATACTTGTAGCATCTTTATTTCCCTCAGAAATGTTCCCTTCAATTCATTCAGATTTGGATTGATTTCCCCTTCTTCATTTGCTTCTCCTAAACCATAGGTGTCTTGTAAGACCAGTGAAATGTCGTTAGTCCCTAGTCAAATCCTTTGGCAATCAGATGACTGAACATCGAATTTTTTGTCGACCCTCGTCAAGGTGAAGGATAATCAACCCCCACTAATCAGTCGCATGCCATGGAATGGCTACTGCGTTGGTGGCCTCCCTCTGTTCCTTGTACCTACTCTTAATAAAATATTTCCGTGATAACGTCATTTGTGTTTTATGGTCGTTATAATAGTCATAGCATCTGGACACCACGGGAGGGTAATCCACGCTAGGTACTAACTGTAAGGTGCGACTCCGACATTAACTGGTTGGTCACTCTATTTTCGCTTAACTCGAGTAGACTCAAATCATTCGACACAAATCATCTGCATTGGTTACTTACATTCGAAAATACATAAGCTGTTTGCGTTAACACTACTCGCAGTATTTACCAAGGGTTTACTTATATAAAACCACGAAAAATGTAGTTGTTTAAGATGGAATTATCAGTTCCTCATGTTACAGATGTGTCAAATGTAGCGTAGTCAGTCATGAAGGAAAAAGGATCACAACACTGCAAACGTCACACCTTCTATAATAGAATTTGTTCCGAAATATTTGCAACTAAGTGAACAGATAAAAGAAAACATGACCTTAAACACTGACTACGATAAGTTTAAATGACTTGTGAGTGTTCAATTTATTTCCAGCCTTGTTTCGCACATCCCTTCTCGAGTTCAACGTTAATTTGAAAACTTTTTAGTTCCAGTTTGATTTTGTAAATACTAGGAAAGTGAGTGGCCTGGGTTTGTCCTAGGAATGGTGGTAACTCAGTTGATACAACTTTCTTTTGCATACGTTGACAAATGAATTGACGAGTCCAATTCATGGGAAAGTCGATAATTATCTGGAAAATACATTTTTTTGAGCCTGTGAGGTTTTCTGAAGACGAAAATGACCCACATACACAAGGAGTTGCATTGATGCTGTCCAAACAAGCGCAAAATGCACTTATGGGATGGGAATCTCATGGATCCAGGATCATCAAAGTCTCCTTCAAAACAAAGAAAGAGGGCATTTCAATGAACGTCATCCAATGCTATGCGCCTACCAACGACTACAATGAGGACGCTAAAGATCAATTCTACAATAGGCTGCATTCAATCATCGAGAAGTGCCCAACAAAGGACCTGACCATTCTGATGGGAGATTTCAATGCCATGGTTGGAACGGACAACACTGGATATGAAGACATCATGGGACGACACGGACTGGGAGAAAGGAACGAAAATGGTGAGAGATTTGCCAACCTATGTGCCTTCAATAAACTGGTCATAGGCGGCACCATATTTCCGCATAAAGGCATACACAAAGCTACATGGATTTCAATTGATCACACTACACAGAACCAAATCGACCATATTTGTACCAACAAAACGTTCAGAAAGACTATACAGGACGTAAGGAACAAGAGAGGAGCTGATATGGCATCAGACCATCACTTTCTTATCGCCAAGATAAAAATGAAACTTAAGGATTAGATTGAAATAAAAGTGAGGCTGGATGTTCCGATCAATGACTCTCTGAAGTCAAATAAAAATTCTTCGGTCATAAATAAGAGAAGTTGTAGCTTTCCTGTTTTCCTATATTCGATATGTGAACGGTTTCAAGTATTTCCAAGCTTTCTTTCTTCATTTAGTGAGTAAGTAGTAGTGGTATTTTTATGAACTAGTGATTCTTTTTACTTGATGATCCGCCTATTACAAATTCCGAGTACTATGCGTCGACTTGCACTCATCTAGTTCTACTTGCTGTAAATTGCACTATTTCTGGAATTCTTAGTCAGTACAATAATTCGAATACTTCTAATTATTATAGTGATGCTTGCAGGGGTGATTTTTACTGTCGGTTATATTTCAGGTTCTGATTCCCACTTTATTCGTTATTTTCATCCTACACATTGCGATTCACTGTGGCGGCGTGTTTATAGAAGATAGATTTATGCAACTAAAATGATATCCATGGTTCAATTATCCTCTTTTATACAGCCCCTGACTAAATAAAAGGACAGTCGATCGAAAATGCCGGATATACTTCTTTGATTGAACGTTAGAAAGATGGTTAACCTCACAATGTCGCCACGAATTTCTCAAACTTGGTGTATTCTCATCGCTTAATTCCACGACTCGAGTATACATATACGGCCGAACTAGCTCCTTGATAGCCAACAGCTGTACATCCGAGGTGACACCCTTGTTACCAGCTCTTGTGATTTAGAATCCTGTTTATCCGTCACTTGGCTATCAAAAGCCTAGTAATTCACTTGATTCTGATGGGTTAAGAGGATGACCATTGTAATCCTTAAGGATGCTATTCCAAAACAATTCATAGCACTGTTAAACAGTTTTCTTTCCCTAGTTTCTGAGGTATTCATTGGACGCTAATTTAGACCCATTTTAAGTGTTGCTGAATTCAGTGAAATATTCAGTAGACATCAAAGTTAGAGATCGACAACCTGGCTTTCGTAAGGACTGATCAAGCACCAATCAAGGCATAACACTGCGGATTATGGCAGAACAATCTGTTGAACAGAAATTGTTGCGGGGACATTAAGTTTCTTCCCTTAATTCCGTGGACACTTTGACTTAATAACTGTTACGATGTTAACCCAACGACGGCGTGGAATATTCGCTAGTGGAGACGGAATTTTTTAAGAACGGTTTATTCGCAACATTCGGTTCAAACGAAATGAACGGTATGCAAATTATGTATATCAGTAATATATACATATTTAGAATATTAATTATTAGTTTAGGAATCGACATCTTACTTACTTACTTACTTACTTACTTACTTACTTACTTACTTACTTACTTACTTACTTACTTACTTACTTACTTACTTACTTAAGCCTGTTACTCCCAATGGAGCATAGGCCGACGACCAGCATTCTCCAACCTATTCTGTTCTGTGACTTCCCTTCTAGTTCTATCCAATTTTCATTCATTCTTCCCATATCTGTCTCCATTTCACGGTGTAATGTGTTTTTTGGTCTTCCTCTTCTCATCTGGTCTCAAGGATTCCATGTAAGGGCTTGCCTTGCGACGTAGTTCTCCAGGTTTCCGCCCCATACAGTAGAACTGTCTTGACATCTGTATTGAAAATCCTGACCTTGGTGTTGGTTGACAGTTGCTTAGAGATCCAGATGTTTTTCAGTTGTAAATGTGCTGCTCTTGCTTTGCCGATCCGCGCCTTCACATCTGCATCAGATTCACCATATTCGTCAATGATGCTGTCCAAATATGTGAAGGTTTTTACATCTTCCAAATCTTCTCTGTCAATTGTGATTGGATTGGTGCATGCCGTGTTGTATCGGAGAATCTTGCTTTTCCCTTTGTGTATATTGAGACCTACTGCTGCTGAGGCTGCTGCTATACTGGTCGTCTTCTCCTGCATTTGTTGTTGCGTTTGGGATAGAAGGGCCAGTTCATCTGCGAAGTCTAAATCATCAAACTGCATCCTAGATGTCCACTGTATCCCGCGCTTCCCTCCGGATGTTGACGTCTTCATGATCCAATCGATCACCCGGAGAAAGAGAAAGGGTGAGAGTATGCAACCTTGCCTAACACCTGTCTTCACTTCGAAAGACTTTGTCAACTGTCCTCCATGCATAGTTTTGCAGTGTAATCCACCATATGAACTCTGTATGATATTGACCATATTCTGAGGCACGCCGTAGTGTCGAAGAAGTTTCCATAGTGTTGTTCTGTCCACTCTATCAAATGCCTTTTCGTAGTCAATGAAGTTGATGTAGAGTGATGAATTCCGTTCAGTTGATTGTTCCACAATGATCCGTGGAGTTGGGAGTTGGTCTGTACACGATCTATCCTTACAGAATCCTGCCTGTTGGTCACGAAGTTGGGCATATACGCAGTCCTTCATCCTGTTTAACAATACCCTGTTGAAGACTTTTCCCGGTATTGAGAGGAGAGTGATGCCCCTGTAGTTATCACACTTGCTGAGATCGCCTTTCTTCGGTATTTTGATCAGTAGTCCTTCTTTCCAATCTTCTGGTACTTGTTCCTCATCCCAAATCTTATTGAAGAGAATGTGGAGTATCCTTGCAGTTGCCGCTACGTCTGCTTTTAGTGCCTCTGATGGAATGTTGTCCGGTCCTGCTGCTTTGCCACTCTTGATTTGTCTGGTGGCCATGCTGGTTTCTTCAATTGTTGGTGGGCCAACATTGATTGGGAGGTCCGTGGGTGCTGCTTCGATGTTGGGTGGGTTCAGTGGAGCTGGTCGATTCAAGAGTTCTTTGAAGTGTTCTACCCACCCGTTTTGTTGCTCTTCAATGTTGGTGATTACCTCACCTTCCTTGCTTTTCACTGGTCGTTCTGGTTTGCGGCGATTTCCAGAGAGTTTCTTTGTCGTGTCATACAGTAGTCTCATGTTTCCTTCTCTTGCAGCCTTTTCCGCCGTCGTTGCTAAATCTTCCACATATTTACGTCTGTCGGTTCTGATGCTCCTCTTCACTTGTTTGTTTACTTCTGTGTATTCAGCTTGTGCCTTGGCCTTTTCTGCTCTTGTTCGACTGGTATTGATTGCTGCTTTCTTGTCCCTCCTTTCTTGAATCTTATCCAGTGTATCAACAGTGATCCATTCCTTGTGATGGTGCTTCTTGTGACCTAGGACCTCATGACATGCTGAAGTGATTGCCTCTTTGATCCCCTTCCACTTGCTCTCCATAGTAGTTCCTTCTCCATTGAGTAGATCATGAAAGGCCAGGAACTTGTTGCTGAGGTCTATCTTGAATTTGTTGAGTTTGCCAGTATCCTGGAGAAAGGCCGTATTGAACTTTTTTGATGTTGTCCGCCCGTTGTCCAGTGCTTCTTGAGTTTCGATTTCATCTTGGCGATAAGAAAGTGATGGTCTGATGCCATATCAGCTCCTCTCTTGTTCCTTACGTCCTGTATAGTCCTTCTGAACGTTTTGTTGGTACAAATATGGTCGATTTGGTTCTGTGTAGTGTGATCAATTGAAATCCATGTGGCTTTGTGTATGCCTTTATGCGGAAATATGGTGCCGCCTATGACCAGTTTATTGAAGGCACATAGGTTGGCAAATCTCTCACCATTTTCGTTCCTTTCTCCCAGTCCGTGTCGTCCCATGATGTCTTCATATCCAGTGTTGTCCGTTCCAACCATGGCATTGAAATCTCCCATCAGAATGGTCAGGTCCTTTGTTGGGCACTTCTCGATGATTGAATGCAGCCTATTGTAGAATTGATCTTTAGCGTCCTCATTGTAGTCGTTGGTAGGCGCATAGCATTGGATGACGTTCATTGAAATGCCCTCTTTCTTTGTTTTGAAGGAGACTTTGATGATCCTGGATCCATGAGATTCCCATCCCATAAGTGCATTTTGCGCTTGTTTGGACAGCATCAATGCAACTCCTTGTGTATGTGGAGCATGTTCTTCTTCATGGCCGGAGTATAACAGGAGCTCTCCTGAAGTTAGTCTTTATTGTCCAACTTGCTTCCAATGTGTTTCACTGATCCCAAGTACCTCTAGGTTGTATCTTCTCATTTCCGCAGCAATTTGGAAGGCTCTCCCGGTGTCCCACATTGTACGAACATTCCATGTACCTAAATAAATGGTTACTCTGGTTGTCGGAAGGAGCATCGGTTTCGTAAATTCCGAAGGAATTCGGCTTTCATCATGAGGCGTCATAGTTCTTCTAAATGAAGACCTTCTGACTACCGAGTCAGAGTTTAAAAGGTTTGAATAATTTTTTCTGGTTAGCGCTTTTTAGCGAGTTAGTTTTCTGAGGGATGGGGACGCTAACCCCATGCCCAACCCTCTTCTTTATCCGGGATTGGGACCGGCAAAAGCCCCCGGAGGGACTCCAGGCTGAGTTAGTCGACACCTGAATAATGTATATTCTTTTCGATGCATGTCAGCAGACACGGTGTCTCTGATTGGGCTCTTTTGTAATTTGTACGGGGAAATGTAAATGCCTCACAAACGCACATGAATAGGTTATGCGACTAATAGGCATAATGATGTGTTTAAACAAACAAGAAAACAAATAACTTGTTGAACTACCCAGATGACAAAAGCAGGTATATCAGATGTTTAAGCAGGAGAATTGATGAATATTATTTGGTGAGCGAATATGTATGTCTGAGACAGGAAACTACTGAAAGCTTAGGACAATAAATGTTCACGTGCGGCTGCGAAATAAGTGTAGGGCGACAAACGCGCATCCAGTCTTACGTAGTCACTTTTACAAGCATGTGTACTTGCAAATAGGTACACAATAATCACTGCGAACCAAATAAAGATTTATCCCACAGGCAGCTTACCTCGGGGGGTTAGTTATTTTAAAAATGTACAAACTTGTGTGTAAGCAGGGACAGTGTAACGACCAAAATTCTGGTGTTTGACTTGATCATAGACCTAGCGAACCGAATTTTATTGATAAGACCAAAATACGTTCGTTTGTGTAGCGTACAAAGCGTTTATGAGTGACTCGCATTAAATCATATCAAAACACGTACTCTCTGTCTACTTTAGTGAGTATTAACTTAAGGACATGACAGGTTATATAAAATGAACCACTTTCGGAAACTCAGGGAGTTCACACAGTACGTTTATCCACTACAAATCTTACTTTCCTTGACCTTATCTATTTTTTCCGTTTTACTGGCGCTTTTCTCAGGGTAACGGGAAGATGGTGAGAAGTTGAGGATATGTGTTGCAAGAGTTGTCTGCTTAATGCTTTCAAAAGCACTCAGGAAATCATTGTGTTGCAATCCACCGACAATTTCTCATGTCTCTACATACAGATTTCTGTTGGGATTCAAGGGTGCCTTACTGCCAATAAACATCGAAACTTGCCGACAGAAACACCACCTGACGTTTAGCGTTTAGTTTGCTATACTTCAGTAGTTCATAAGCGCTTTAATATGTTTGTGTATTCTCGTGTTAGATGTATTGTTAATTGGTATAATTCTATGTGCAAGGCGTTGCGCGTATTACAAGTTTTCGTGTTTACGCGTATCGGTTTGTGTCGTCTGTAAGGTACACTGGACTCCTGAGGTTCTTTGCAACTGGCTGACATAAAATCTAAACCCTATGTTAGGAAATGGACTTGGTTGCGGCCTTCAACACCGAGGTTAGTTGTAATTCATGCGATTTACCTTGTTTAGTTAAAATCATTAACAGATTCACAACTGCCGGTTTCTAGAGCCAAAATGGCTTCGATAACAAGGGCCGCTATAAAGGCTTTGAAATATTATAAACATGTGGTACAGATTGTTGAGAAGTTTATAGCGAAATGTTCACCGGAATATAAAGTCCCTGGATTGTATGTAATCGATGCCATTGTTAGACAATCTCAGTACTTTTATCGCGAGAAGGATGTTTATGGACCCAGATTCCTTCGTAACCTAGTGCCTGTGTTTATTTCTCTTATGAATTGCAATGAGAAAGATAAACCAATGCTAATGCGCATGTTGTATTTGTGGCAGAAAAGTTCTGTCTTTCCAGATGAAGTTATAAAGGCACTGTGCGGTGTTATATCGGATCCCAAAAATCCACAGGTTGTTGGAAAAGGTAAGTCTTTATGTTCATTAATTATTTTGTTTTAGCTAAGGAGGTCATCATTGAATCACTAAACAATTCCTCTACGAAGCAAATAATCACTGAATCTTCAGTCCCTTCACAAGCCACAGAAATACCCCCAACTGTAGACAACTGTGTATCTAGAGACGATAATGCAGTATCTGCTTCTGAGATCGCTAGTGATTGCGCCCAAAGGAACACAAGCGCTAAGGTTCAACTACTTCAACTACAAGTGAGTTTTATTGTGACATTTCGAAGAAACTGAACGATTTCCATATTTCATGTCGTTATATCTCTCTAAATCGTTGGAAATAACGTGGGTACGTGCAGTGCACTTACGGTCAAAATAGTTTTCCGATAAAAGCATAGATTGACCAGATTTATAGTATAAATTATCCCGTTGGTCTTAGCCATTTTTTTAGTGGTCAGTAATTCATTAATATATACGAGGTTGATGTATGTAGTAAACTTGAATCTTCAGGGTTTTTGCGAATAAAGTTCAACTTTACATAAAAAGGTGACAGCACTAGTTTCCAGTATTAAGTTTGTCACAATATTTTACTAATGTTTCCACAGGTCCCTTTCCTTAATTTGAGCGGCTCGTGCTTTTAGCATCAACACGTGTCAAACTTTGCATGAGGGTTGCAGTATACTGATTATCTAAAAAATTACATTCCGGGCCTCAGATTTTCGTCAATTTATTGAGTAAAGGTTCGCGTACTTGACTTTGAGCTATACCATATATGAGGGTTGGTGATATTGCTCGGTTGCTTAAACTGAAGTAGCGTGAGGTTCAAACCTGTAACTCAGTGGCTGAAATTTAGAAGTCTTGATCACTGAACTACAGTTCTAACAAGTCACAACCACCCTTTATATCCCAATCCTTATAATACTTAAAGTAGGGCTGTTTCGGATTCATATTTATTCTTTAGTTAGAAATTTGTCACTGATTCAGATAAATCCCATACACAATCTTTGTCTTAACCAACGTTTTATTAGATGAATTCACATCGTTGTATTCACTCGTTTGTTCTGCCTCTATTATGTTCCCAACTCCCCACTGTTAGTCTCACTGTTTCTATTTGTTCTTCCTTTCTCCCATTTCTTTCTATGGGGTTTGTGGTAACTCCAAGATTTGTGCCTGGTGCTATTCCGTGTACATAGCTGTCTTGAGATTAGGATGGCGGGTAGGGTAATTAGAATTGTCAGAGTGTGGTAGTAAAAACATCTGGTTTTATTCAGCTTTCTGTGCTAAACAAACAAAATTAGCAACCTAACATCACGTATCCCGTCTTGTTAAAAAAATCTACAAACTTGAATGGAATCAGGCTGTTGTCACATACACTAGGGTGAATAGTCAAATTAAAAACAAGTAAGTCAATGGTCTTCACATTTTATAGGAGTAAAATAAATAGTGGGTTGACCGACATCAAAGGAGTCATCTAAAATTTAAGTCTGAAAAGTGTTGGTTTGCTAAACCTAGAGATTAGGACAACTCACTAAGCTTTTAGAACAGACACTAGGGACTACACAGGATACATTGGGAGTTACTATTCAACATCCAGTTAGAGGTTAATTGAGATACTGAATGTTGGTTATTACAGGAGTAAATGGAATGAAGAATAAAGTCCAGTTCACTATCTATTGAACTTAGTAACGCGAAAAGTTGCAGACTTTCTGTCATCCCCAAGATGATAAATAGCTTGAAGCCCTAAGGAACTGAGCTGGAAATCGGCCTCATTTGTTCAGACATATTAATTCTGTCTTTGTATAAATCTTGTTTTGAATCTTCTATTCACTCAGTCCTTTTGGATCATATTCTTTGCATTCATCAACCTTAAAGTCAACCTGTGGGTCGATAGAGTGATTAGAGTCAATTGGATGTTCAAGAATTGGACTTCTAACTCCCTCTTGCCCTTGTAGAACCACACTGCAACGTATTCTCGTATCCGAGTTGAAAGCAGACTCTGGCTACGACTTATATACCTTGCTCCACTTGAGCAGGTGAACTTTTAGATGCACATGGAGGCGACCAGACGAGAAAGCTTATCCTTTACGAATACAGAAAACAGGTTCTTACTAATGAGCACTATCCACAGCTTTGTTGCATAGAACGTCCTTTTTATCGCTGCCGTCAACTGAGTTTTCATTATATCAGAAGTTGGGTCACCTTTAAATTACATGTTCATATGAAGGTACCTCTTTTGGACTAAATTATCGGATTCCTTGTCTCGACTTCTTTTTCCATATTCTTCCGTATGAAGCGGCTTGGATAGCCGTTTTCAGACAACTAGCACCCAGTTATCGATTAGTTATATTAATACCGGTTGTCCGATTTCAGGATAATAGAAGACTAACTTTAAAGTTCAAACTTTTGTCCACATACTCGAATTCGATCTCAAGATAAGGGAGATTTATGGGATTATTAAGTCTCCAATATAAATAAAAACTATTAACTTGTGCTGGGCTTCATATCCACACCCTAGATTTTGAAAAATTTCCGACGTAAAAGTTCATAAAATTAGTATGTCAGTTGTTTGACTATCAGACCTCGTTTTTTTTTATGAATTATATGACGTAACAATTTGAACCGATGTACATATGTTCCAGATTCCACGTTATATGTAATTGTTTGCTGAATGAATAATCCTAATTGTCTAATTTTCCTACAATGTCGACTACTTAACAAAGATTATAGAAGAATATTTTCCTTCTGGTTTTAAAGAAAATTAAAATACTGATTTCTTACCAATCTTTCATAACTTATCCGTATATTCATTTCTCCACCGTTTAGTGAACGAGTACAATAGTTCAAACTTAATTCGTTTTTTTAGAAAAATGGACAGAGTAATGCTATACTTATGATTCCATGGCTTAAATTTTCTCTGAACCTTTTTTATAGGCTTTACAAAAAAAGATTGCTGAACAATCAGCATTACTTAATCAAGAACAAACAATTGATCCGGAGGTGCTGACACAAATTCATATTCTTATGTCAGAACTAACTAGACGAGCAGAAGCAGCAACAGTTCAACTTGCTAATGAACAAGCCAATGAAGATTTAAAGTAGGCTGTTTTTATTTGTTCTTTGATATAATCAAATTATACATATATGGCACTAGATTCTCCTGTTTAATAAAAGAATAGCTTCATTCTAATTGAGCACAAATCTGTCACTCAGTTGACCTTTAGCTTTAACTCTAAGTCCAACTACACTTAATAGTGTTTTTTAGTTGTTGGCTTTGTGATTTAAATTTTAAACTGTCAATTACAAGTTGTAGCTTTGAATTCATGCCCATTACCTATCACGACTTTTACGTTTAGCCATCACCTATATTGACGGATGGTGTTGGTATATTAGTAAGTTCGAAGAAAAGTAGGAACAGCCAAGCCAGTAAATGGCAACATCGGTCCATGCGCTCATTAACTATCTAACCAGGTCATGGTGGGGAATTCAGACCACGTGGTTTTAACCCATGGGATAACCGAGGTCAGTGTCTGGATACATTTTATGACATTTGTCAGAATCTGTCACTGACTGAAATGCATTAACCCTTTTTTCCTCCCCTTAGATCTTAATTCTTAGTATCCCTTCATACATATATATTCATTTTTTCTCAGACCTTTTCCTCAACGTTTAGTCTTTTTCATTATCATAGTTACTGCATTTTTTAGACTCATTTTGCCATTCATCTTGTTAATTTTGTCATCGTGCTAACGTGTGATACAGCGACTTAGGCAAATGCATGTTTGTGCCAGACTCTGCATTGGTTATGATTGACATATTGATACCCTCTTCCATCCATGGGTTTTGACAAGTAAGAAACACTAATTTGTCTGGAAAAATACAAAAAGTTGTGAACTAAAGAGGTTCTTCAGATACTAGAAATTTCCTAAAAGTCTGGCATTCAGGTCAATCAACAATCGTTAGTCATACTAATGTAGGACAGATCTATCAATCAATCAATTCGATGTTAATCAAATCACGATATAGCTTATTAACAAAAGGATTATTGGAAACATGGATAGGCATATTGCTGACTACTTTTGACGCAAATCAATCAAGCTATTATTTTTTGGTGATAACTAGAAAGTTCACTTCAAAACCGATGAAATTACACAGTCCATTATCATTAGTAGTTTGATGCATCAGTCGTAATTTATAAACAAAGCACGCCACACAACTACGACTGTGTTTTCTTTACCATTAATATTTTTTTGGTGGTTTTATTAGCATCTGCCCTCGTCGTCCTAAGTAATTTACATCAATTTAAGCTGGTTATAAAGTGTATCACATAGTCAATGTTTGTAAAAGTTGTATTAATTTGTTGTAATCGACTACTAAGCATTGGCTAGTCCCATGCTTAGTTCTTAGCTTTAGCCAAATGAGGTCAATCTACATATATTGAAATCTAGAGTAAGCTACGCTAATCGTCTTCATCTTTGGTCCCTCTACGACGTTAGTCTGACTAAAAGGTCATGTGTACATTGTGTCAATCAGATTAGAACAACTATCAACCTCCTGTATTGATGAAAACATAGGACTTATATGGCCTACTGTACGTTCCGACCGTTAATTTACTCTTCAAATCATTATTGATGAAGTGAATTTAGGAAGGTTTCCTTTGCACATTAGCACTAGAATGATATAGAGATGATATGAAATATTAAACAAGTCAGCTAAACAGCCTGGTTTATTTTTGTAAGAATTCTGGTGATGTTTTGAACACAAGGTTTAGAGTTAAGGCAAATGTATTCCCATAAATTGAGAGTATTTTAAAAGAAATAGGGTTGACTTAACTTAAACTTTATGAACTAATGTATTTATAATCTTAGTTGGAACATTTATTGGATAGACTGTGCTCATTCTTCATACTTAAAAGTGAAATGGAACTTCTTGATTATGTTCGTAGTGGAAGTGTACTTTTGAATAGATACTTTGGTTATTCATTTCATTTATTAGTTAAATGATCACTACCTTTTTCCCTTTCTTTTAACAATGTTATCCTTCTAATTTATATGGAGACTTTTTTTTTGCTGGGTCCCCTGTTGTGTATCAAAATGTTTTGTGTTTTAGATAACATTACTAGTTAAATATAGGGAATTCATAGAATGTGCTGAAATTTTTTTCACTTTTCGATGAAGTAATATTCACTTAAGCTGACCACTTCAATTTTACCGTCTGAACTGTTTGTGACAATGTAGTTTAGTCGGATTTCTTTCACATATACATACATACACACACGAGAACAAATAAAACTTTCTATCTGACCACATTTTTTTGCTGTCCTGTTACTTTGAACATGAGAAAACTTTACGTTATGTATTAATTGCTTCCCCAGAATCAATCTGTTTTACTCACTTATTATGTATAACCTGTTTATGTCCTTATGAAATGCTACAAAGTGTTTGGTTTTTGTGTTGTGTTCTCTGAGCTAGATAGTTTCATTGGGAAGCTTTGATTATCCTTCTTTTCAAAATCTTCAGCGCCTACTTATGTTGCGTTAAGCTTTTTGGTTATTTCACAAGTATTCTATTAGTTCATTCCAGTGGTCACGTTTGTGAGTGGTTGTTTTCGTAGGTCTTGTTAGTTTAGTTGTAGTCTTGCGACAAGTTGATCTCTTCCTTATGGGTTCATAGTTTAAAACTGTATTGATGTAGTTTGCGATTGACCTGAATGACATTATTTTAGAAATCCCCTGGTAATCTTGAAGTTTACCTGGTTCGAAATTCCGAGTTTCTTTAGTCGAATTCATATCCTTAATTGTTTGTATTAACTGGTATCACATCACATCGTTTCATTGTTAGTCTTTGTTCGTTTATGCGTAAGTGAATGGGATGTTCATTACGTCCAAAATATTGATAAAACTTTGCATTTAAAGAAGTCATTGTATCACATTCTCATAGTTACTGTTCTCTTTATTCTGCAATTACAATGATTTTACTCTATTTTCCGTTTTTTTTCTTCTTGTTCACCTCTCAGTGTGATTGATCCAAATTTGTTGGCACGAATACAATCGATGGTTGATACATTGGCGCATACTCGTGTATTACAAAAACAACTAAATCAAGCACGAGCTGAACGTCATCACCATCAACAACACTCAAGATATCAGCAACAACAATCAAATACTGTTGTCCGATCTATCAATGGTGTAACAGCTGGTCAATTGGAAGATGATACAAAACTAATTCGGGTTCGTTGTTGTTGTTGTTGTTGTTGTGTTTTAAATGATTTATTAAGTTTATTTGTTTATTGTTCAATTTCATGGAATATTTTGGTATTTTTAGAGCAATTCCATTGAAAATAATTCTAAATAGATTTTATAAATGAATTGATCAGGAATAAGGTTGAATTAGAAATTATCATTTTAATTAAATGATTAACATTTAGTTATTTAAACACATAAACATTAGTACAAGGTGGCATCAAATAGATATGCGCCACATAAATCATCCGATTTGTGTGAGGGCTGTGATACTGCCTGGGTGCTCAAACTGAAGCAGGTGGTTTTCTTAGGGGGGCTATACCCGGAGCCTTTGACCTAAATGTCTGATCCACAAGGCAGTGGAACAATGTCAGGAGATGCAGTCCTATGGTAGCCGGTGACCAACACTAGGTTCACACGCCATTTGTTCCCTTAGGATCATGGAGCCCATGTGCACCATTTGTTTGAAATCAGGGTTTCCCGATTCCCTTAGGTGGATCTTCCGCGTCCACCAGCGCGGTTAAAGCGCCGAGCATTCGCTTTTCGTCCTCTCAATTTCGTAAACAATAGTGATGCCGCGAGAAGGCAGTGAGTAGGACATCCCTGGCAGTGGTTGTATGCACGTTGCCATGTGAGAGTATTTCTAGAGGGAGAGCTGACTCTCCCCACTTTCGGCCGTTCCAGGGCATTTGAGGGCAAATGATTAACAAGGTGAAAGGTTTTCCCTACCCTAGATTTTAATTCATATTGTTACGTATGTAGTGGAGAAAATCCCATCATTGGATAGTGTGTTTCGTTGTAAGACTAGTTAGTATAAATCTTATGATAGATTCTTTGTAATTTTGGATTGCTTAAAAATGAGTGATGGCTTTCCCAAATAATTAATTCTTAAAATGTTTGGTATTAGCGAATAGTAATCTTCAACAGTATGATTCAGAAAGAATGAATTCGTGGAACAGAAAAGCATAAGGTAATTTTCAAATTCACGATCCAATGGAAGATAACAAGTGGATTCAATTGTCACATACCACCACATAGGGTCTCTAACCACTGATCGTGGTTATTGGATGGAACACAGCCACCTAACCTACACTTATTGACTTAACTTATTTTACTAGTCATTGACTTTGCAGGCTGTTATTTACGTTTACCGGCAAAAATCACGCGTCAAAGTAGGCTCTGGTTAAGCATACATAATACATGTCACAAACAATGTTAGTGCGGAGACATGATGCAGAGTTAATTTGAAAACAAGAACATTTCTTTGGTCAGCTTGTTTTTCCCTCTGTTCCGTTACACGTAAATCAAATAAAAGTGGTTGACAACAGTGTGTATTTCACATACTTCTTTAGGTAGGCGTTCTTATCTCTTTAATAATTCGACTGTTTTTTTCTAAAATCGCCTTAACATAAATGGCGCAGTATTTTCACAATAACGTTTTTTAATTGATGACAGTCTGTAGTAATCCCCCTGTGGCTTTAGATTTTATGCTAGTCAACAAATGATTGCAATACATTGGGTATTTTAAACAAGTCACTGTTCGTGCAGACTAATAAAGGGTCTTCCAATCGATTTACCTCATTTGCCTAACATCAAACAATCAGACGGTCCCCAATGTTCCATTCAACTGTATTGTCTTGTCGTTTTTGTCTCTTACTTTTTTAGCCTACAGATAACCGTGGTGGTTTAGTTAGTTCAGTTAAACTAAAAACAGACAAATGTATTCGAAATGATTCAAATAGATTAATACGACCTACAACACCTCCATGTTTATCAGATGCTGAAGACGATCCTGGAATTTTACCACAGTCATGTGATAGAAAACTTCACTTAACAAAAAAGAATAAAATTGCAAATAGAGCTAGTTCAAAACATTTAGACTCCAAAGTAAGTTAAATTGTGATTATTATGTATGATCGACTGGTAATGTCTTTCTGTCCGCTTATTAAGGATTCAGCTACAAATATCATGTCAAAAGCAATTTATCTTAACCTACTAAATTGGCCACCTTGAATTTCATTTCAAAAGTTTATGTATACTGTCCTGGCGTGGTTTATTGATTGCCTCTGTGGAGTGTGTTGTTACATAATATTACCATGGAATTTTTTAAAGATTATCGAAGTTCTCAGTTGTATTCTTAATTTCATCACATCTCGGCGTTCCTTTGAGTTGTACAAGACCACAAAAGCAGACTCAGCATTTCATCGGGGTTGGTGTATGCGAATAGATTAACTGGAAGAGTTGGAAACCCCTGCTTGCAAATAATACGCGGATATAAACTTCAGAATTCTTAAGGAGCGAATAGCATATGAACATAATTTGGTCTCTAACTCTCCCTAGATAACATCTAGTGTTGCTCCGCTGCTCTGTGGACTAGATCTTTATTACATCTACTTAGGTTCAACGCAACGGAGATAGCATCACTAATCGGGTTCAAAGCCTCACATACACTAACCTATACCTGTTGAATGCGGTACATTGACGATGTGTTTATGGGTTTGTATATATTACGGTGTTTTGCTACTTAATTTAATACTTCAGAATATTAAACTTTGTCATTAAGACCTTTTGTATTGGTTATTTTGATCTTCTCATTGATGTTTAGGACTGAAATTAATCGGTCTCTTATTGTCAAATGTACATCCTGCACACATTGCCTCGATATTGCCATTAAGTCACAATCACTATAAGCACAGACAGATGATAGTTAGCAATGATATTCGCGACACCTATTTGCCTTATTTGGGACTCGTCAGCTGGATGTACCTGCACTCAAGAGTTGAACAGTTGCATTCCTGAACATCAATGGGAGGATTCAAACAACCAATAGAAATGAATTGAACTTCACCTTATTGCACAGCCTAACCCAGTGGCTACCTGGACTTAGTAGCTAGGTGGATAACTTGACAGCGTTTGATGTAAATGGTACTGAGCTTGAGTCCCGGAGTGAAAATCAACTATGGAATGCAGGTATACTCAGCTGATGAGTCCCAAATAGGACGAAGCCTATGTTCCGAATTCAACTGCAACTCTTGAACGTGTTTCTTCTCCTGGTTACTCAACAACATCTAGTGACATATGTATCTTTACGAGTTTCGAACCGCTGAACTCAAGTTTAAGAGGACAGTTTCGACCTTCTTAAAAAATATCTTTTGTTTGATTCCAGGTGAAGTTTTCAGCATATATGATCATATCGTTTTGCTTATAAGTAAATTGTTATTTATGTTTACACTATTTTTATGAATAATTTGTTTTATCAGTCCTTAGATGTTACTTTTCATGATTTCAATGTCTGTCAGGGTTCACGTAAACATCATATTTATGATTCGCATCCAATGCATAATTTCGATAGAGAAACTAGTCATGTCGATGGATTTTTACCATCAGATAACTCTTCATTTTCCGATCGAAATAATAGTAATATTAATCATAATAACGATCAAGTTCATTCATTTCGAGAACATACAAATCGACTTGTTTCAGAATATGAAAATTGTGATGATTGGAATATTTCATCAAGTCAAAGAGTTCGTAATAAATATAGTCGGTAAGTATTTGTCCCTACTTTTATCCGATTCTGTCCTGATATAATTAATGCTAATTGTTTGTAATTAATCAGTCAGTCAGCTACAACGTAAGACCAGGCACATATATGCATCGGTCCAAATTGCCATACCTCATTAACACAACAAGATGGACACCGGATTCATAGCAGTGGTTAGGTCAAAGGTAGTAATATATGAGAAAGATTGCATATAGAGATATAGTACAAGAAGAAAGAATTGGATCGTAGAAAGAAAGATATGGAGCGATTTTAATCTCTTAGTTTAAGGGAAGACAGAGAGTGTATACACCGACGCCATTGTGATCGATTCTGAGCCATGTCACCAAGAGTCTCCAACTGTTGGTTGCGATGTCACGCGGACCCTAACCAAGTAGTCTGCATCTACCAACATGGCTCAGACTAGAAGTTAGTGACTTCAGGCACTGATGCCACGTTTTGGTTTGGCCGCCCCTAACGTTTGTCATTAATAGTAGGTTGTGTATTGTTTACTTATCTTTTCAGGGTAATAGTAGTATCTTATTTTTGAGTATAACATCAGCGTTGAATGAAAACTAATCCTATTTGTTTTTTTTTGTTGTTAAATTTCCTAATGCATTACTCTTTTATGTGCTCTATCTTCAAACGAAATGTTTATTGGAAGCAGAAATGTTGAAGATGAATTTCTCCGCTTCTGTATGCGAGTTATTACTTCAACAGTGATTTAAATCAACGCATACTCTGACTTATAATAGAGAGCGAATTGATCGAGCATACTAACCACTTCACTTTTTTTTTAGAAATCTCATCAGATCTTGTGGGGTAGTAGTAGCTAACGAAATTTTAGGATGGACTCAGATTTTTATCGGCTTTTATCATCTATGATGTACCTGAAAGGATTGTATGACTATGAAAGATGCGAGTATATTGCGTAACAGTCTGGTTTGTTCGTCATAAAAACATTTCTTGCATATGACAGGAAAACGGAGTTACCAGTGCTGAGGTTGGATGTAGGGTACTCGGAGATGATAAATTGTTTGATAAAACTATGAATCGTCGTCGGCTACTGTATCTGAAACATCTGTGACGTATGTTCAACCATTGACTACCCTAATGCAAAATGCTGGGTAGTATAGGAATGGTGTAGAAGAAAGTTAGGAGTAACTGAAGTAAGCTGTGATACCAGCTTATAATATCATTAAGTGTTGAACTGTATCTTTTTGATAGATATACAAAAGATAAATTTTACTCATTCACCAGGTACTTAGGTATAAGCCGCAATCTAGTTGTGAAAGCCAATGTTACTACCCAGGTGCCCAAATCGGAGTAGATGGAGTGCGGTTCAAACCTGGAAATAAATGGTTAAGGTGTCTGCTAGCTACCATAATCTCTGCTTATAATATTTGATTTTCGCTTACTCAATCGCCACTCCAGATATGGACTTCCTGTTAGTGGTCCACGACTTAATGGTCATATGCATAGTCAAAGACTATTTGACATGATTCAATATAGGTTCCAGTTGCACAGATCCGCTCATTCTTTATCTTTATCCAAATTTCGTGTTAAATGTCATTTTATACTTTATTATTTTGTAGTCTCATTTGTTCTATTTCTCATGTTGATATTTCCGATTATAGTTTAAACTATTCCCCCTTTCTTGTTTATTATCTAATTTATTTCCTCTCTCACTATTACTGGTTTAAGATATTGCTGTAACTTGAATTGATACAACTTTGTTCTAGATGGTCTCACATTGATGATAAATTATATCCTGTTAATATGTTGATTGGTTAGTCGAAAATTCTTCTTAGTGAGTTATTTTTCGACATGAATTTATTCTTGTGAATCTTCTCAACCTGCAACTCCCGTTTATCGTTTCCTTTTTAATAGTCTCGATTCGTACGATGATCGTGTTGATCCTCCTCATTCTCATCATCATCGACATGTTTTTCTTGAATCACATAAACTTGATGTATCCGACAATGAACCTGAACACTCAGATCAATTCGTTGATGATTATGCTTCAGACTCACCTATTCTGAGTCCTGTTCGTCGACGTTTTGACGATAGTTTGTTTCAAAATGAATCAGTATCACCAACTGAATCCGACCCAAAACATCGTGAACGTCGTAGAAAACATCTTGGCTTGCCTACATTGAAACCAGATCATGTTGGAATTTTATCGCATACAGTGTTTATTGGTCATTTACATAAACAATTAGCTGAAAGCAAGCTAACAGCACTTTGTTCAGAAGTAACTGAAGGTCAAGTAATTGAATGTAATTTTATTCCACCACGTGGGTGTGCATTTGTTACATTTGCTACCCGAAGAGCTGCACATCGTGCAGTGACTCACATGGATCAATCTACATTGAGTGGTCGAGAAATTAAAGTAGCCTGGGCTCCAAATCTCGGTATTAAATCAAGAGAAGATTATGTCACCAATTATTGGGATACTGATGAAGGTTGTACTTATTTACCGATAGAAGAAGTTGTAAAATTAACACGTCCCCAATTCGATGATCTTTTAGCTGGTTGTGGTGAAGTTGATGAAGAATCTCTCACTGATCCTCGACTTAGAGGTTTGATCATGATGAACAGTAATGATAATAATGATAGTAAAACACAATCGATTAGTAGTCCTAATGTAAAGTCTGTTAAGAGGATACAAACAACACCAACCACTCAAAAATCTACAACAAACACCTCGACAAATTTATCAGTATCAGTTTATTCTCCTGTTGTTGTACCACCGTCTGTCCCAATGATATTAACTCGCCCTATACCGCCAATGCAGCCGATGGTTCCTCGGTCAGTCCCATTAATCCTACCTTTAGTAGCGGGTATGTTTTTCGTATTTTTGTTGAATATTTTCTAGAGGATGTTTTTGATTAATCTTAACTTAATTGTTAGTTTTCAATACACACTAACGTCATAAAAATAATACAGGGGAAAAAGGTTCACTTAGTGGAGACACTGATAAAGTGCGGAGTCTTATAATCATTCTGAGCTATAGCGCAAGCGCATTTAAAGTAGGCTTTGTCTCTTAAATGCGAAATGTTGCATCAGGACTGGTCCAGACCAACACCTAAACTAATGCTAGGATGTGAAGTAGTTCAGTGCATTGACCACTTCATTTATCTAAGTGGTCTAGTCAGTTGTGATGTGTTTGTGTCTGATGAAATCACGTTACGAATTCGGAAAGTTCGGTTGACTTTTGGTCAATTGTGTCACTTGTGGTGTATGTGGAGTGTCCATCTACCGACTAAAGAACAAGTATACTGGACAGTAACTCGTCCTATCCTACTTTATTGTTGTGAAGGTCAGTTTATGAAAGTAGATGTGAGTAGGCCGAATGGTTTTTGACCATAAGGTCTTGAAAGCGTTGCTTTATGGCTATGAAATGTGGCCTCTTAAAAATAGAGGATGCTCATAGATTATTAATATTTGACTATAGATGACCTTAAAGGATCGTTTGTGTATTTTGAGATCACAAACTGAGGACTAGATAAAGATGGCAAATTGATTGATCAATTAGTAAATCTGCAGTGACTGAAGTGATTAGGATACGTTTCACTTGTGTCTATGATTAAATTTTTAACTGTTGAACTGAGCCATGATGGTAGGTCTCAGGCTACCTGTCTACGGTCCTTGTGAATTATATTGACCAATGGTTAGAAACTTTAAGTGAAATAATTCAGAATCGGTCACAATGTTCTAAATGTATTCATTCTTTAGCTTCTTTGAGATTATGAGTTTAAAAATCATCTTTTACTTTGTATTATATGAATTCACTTTTTTCTTCTCATATCATATTTTCTACAACTACTGATACTCAGTCAGTCAGTCAGTAACAACGTAGAACTTTGTACGTACATACACCAGTTCGAGTTACCATACCACATTAGCACAGAGATGCAGTTATCGATTCAAATCCCGTAGTGGTAGAGGTAGTAAGAGTATAAGCAGTAATCGGAAACATTAGGGTTTGGAGATGTTATGTAAAGAGTATAATTCAGTGAAATAAATTTGGGAAGAGAAAAAAAAGAGACAAGGAGGAATCAGAAGATTAGAATTTGAGAGAACACAAAGAGTGTATGGACTTGCGCCATTGGAAACGATTTTGAGCCATGTCATTTAAGGTCGCTAACCATCGGTTGCTATCATCTCGCGGTCAAAGTATCTCACTGATACTATTATTACTTTTACTACTCTAATATTTATCTTGATAATTTCATATGACTGTGTTGATATGATGTAGCAACTGGAATCCATTGACATATATAACAGGTTCTACGTTTCATATAACTAACTAGTAGAATTGGTTTTTAATTCATATTCTTCATTTGATCTGTATGAAGTTGATTAGTATATAGATAGGTATCACATATGGTTTCCACTTATTTATGAATGTACTTATTAACTCATTATCAGGTAAAAATAAATACGTTTAGTTGGCTACGTGCCACATCATCTAAGTCTAAAGACTAATTATTGATAATATCTGATTATTCAAACTAAAGTAGATAAAGTAAGGTTCGAAACTACAACTTATTGGCTGAAACTCGAATACCTTACTAATCAATAAACTACTGCTCCACTAAATTAGTATCAGTTAAGGAGAATCATTTATCTAAAGCTCTATACATCGTTCCAAATTAATAATCACTGTCACTGGTTATTCAAATTAATTCAATAAACAAACCAGGTAGTCTTGTTTATATTTTAATCATCATTTGAATACTAACTAAGTTTTTGTATCTCATGGACTTTTAGTCACTAGTTTGTCGGTTCGAACCTCACTACACCTTTAATTTAAGCAACGGGGTAATATCATCAGTCCTCACACTTGAATTGTAGCTTGAAGCCGAGTCTTCTGACCACTATAAGCAATAATGCAAGCAGGTTCGGGATGCGGTTCCCCTCCTCGGAATGCAAAAGTTACTTCAGGCTTGGGTGGTATTGACACTTGAACTAATGATAGGGAGTAAATTAGTTGAACATGTCGACCGCTTCACTTATCTTGGGAGTCTCATCAACCGCGTCGTTTATGGGGTAGGCGAGATATCCGTCTACCAACCAAAGGACGGGTTTACTGCGCAGCAGTTCGTTCGTCGTACTTTATGGCAGTGAAACATGGCCAATAAGAGTAGAGGATATTCGTAGGTTACTAGTATTCGATCATAGGTGTCTTCGAAACGATGCTCGTATATTCTGGGACCACCGAGTAAGTAACGCGGTTGTTAGGAAACGGGTGCTAGGTAAGGGTAGTAAATCAATTGACAAAGTAATGAAACTTCATCAGTTGAGATGGCTGGGACAGGTGTTACGTATAGCCAGCCACCGACTGTTCCGACGTGAGGTGTTTCTTGGTGTATGAGTAGGATGGAAGAAAGGTAGGGGCAGCCAGACTAAAACGTGACACAAATCCATGAAGTCACTGACAAGTGGACTGAGTCATGTTGGTAGGTGTAGACTATCTGGTTGGGATCCGTGAGATGATAGCAACCGACTGTTAGGGACCTTGAATGACATGGCTCAAAATTCGTTTGCAATGACGCAAGTGCATCCACTCTTTGTGTTCTCTCAAATTCTAATCTTCCGAATTCTTTATGTCCCTATATTTTTTCTCTTCCCAAATTTATTTCACTGGGTTATACTCCTTAAATAACATCTTCAATACCTAATCTTTTCGATTACTGCTTATACTCTTACTACCTCTACCACTACGGGATTCGAATCGACAACTGCATCTCTGTGCTAATTTGGTATGGCAACTCGAACTGATGTACATACATATGAAGTTCTACGTTGCTACTGACTGACTGAATTTAAGTAATAATGAAAAACTCAAATCTCACATTATACTATCTTTTGTGTTGAAGATGAGGCAATCAATATGCAACAATTACTCATACTAATAAATCAGTCAAACGGTTTCTATTTTGTTGCATTTATATACCATCCACGTCCTTAATTTACCACTCCATTTCATAGCCATTTGATAAATTGGATTTAAATTCCATTAAATTACCTGTTATTTTTCATTATTCCTCTTGTTTTCAAAGCATCAGTTCCACGTATGTCAGTCCCAACACAACCGTTATATTTTCAGCAGAACAATACAACAGCTACTTCTAGAGCACCTCCACCACCTCCTCCACCTCCTCCCCCACCACCTCCTCCCCCGCCACCGCCTCCACCGCCTCCTCCTCCACCACCACCACCTACACAACCGTCAATCACCCCTCCCCCTCCCTCTGCCACTATATCATCCCAACCTCATTCAACAACCACTACATCGGAGTGTCAGTGGAATCCTGGAATTAATGCGAATCATCAACGTGTTGTAAATCAGCAATTATTACAACAAAATCCGAAGCCAGAATTGTCAACTTCAAGTTTTGCCGGGCTTAGACCATACAACAGACCACCATTATTGCCACATACTTTTCTTCCACGTAAGTACACATTATTATTATTATTGTTATTATTACCGTAAAGGGATCGTGGAGATTGTTGGATTTCTCAGTTTTAATCTGAATTAGATAAATATGAAAAACTTGGAAAGACTGGACAGCTGTTTCGTCCTATTTGGGAAGTTCTCAGCTATCCTCATCCACATCAGTGATCAAACACATAGCCTTTAGGTCTTGTGGAGAGAGCATTTAAACTTTAGACCTCTAAGTTGATATCTGTTAGTTGACATTTATAATTTCAATCAACTTTTAAGATTGAGCAATCGTATTTCGATATCATCGGTTAGGAACTAGTTGCCTCATACTGGATATGATTAAACCTCCAACAGTCCTATACTAGGACAAAACAACTATCAAATGCTTCATGTTTTTGAATGGCTATCTAAATAAGGTCAGTCTGTGATGTTGGTATGACATAACAAATCTACGTAAATATCTACATACCTCTGTAGATAGTCCAAAAGTAAAAGTGTAGTAGCTCTACTCACAAAAAAAAGAAGTAATTGATTTATCAGGTGTGTACAGTGATTGTGTATTAATATTATATACAATATTCTTGGATATATAGGGTGACAAATAATAACATACTAAAAAGATCAATACCTGAAAACAAGAAGAAAACGAAAGGGTTTCTATTCTAGCTCAAAGCAAAGAATACAACATCATATGGAGTGATCTATTGTGAAGAATGTGAAATTGTAAGAACTAAATTATAGTATAGTGAATACTAGAAGAACCTGTTGTTTGTAGATAATTTGTAAGGTGTCGTTTTCCGATGATCTTGTATGCCGGTGTTCGCATTGAAGGAGAAGATGTACAGTTATTTTGAACAATTAAAAAACAAACAGTACTTTGATATTCAAACTCTTTTCACAAACATCAGTCAATTTTTCACAATAAAAAACAGACATTACCGATATAAAGCCTAATATAGGTGTGTATCTACCCAAATTGCCATACCTAATTAACATAACGAGATGGATTGCAAAGAAATTAGAATAATGCAATAGTAATGATAATAAGAAAGATTAAACATTGGGAATATGCTTTGTAAAGATTAAATGGAAGGGAAGATAAAGAGTGAATATTTCTGCTTCATTGTGACCTAAAGTCTCTGACTACTGATTGCGGTTATCACACGGACTCCAATCAGATAATCTGCGACTACAAACATGTTTTAGACTAGCAGTTAATGACTTCATGAACTGATGTTATGTTTTTATTTGGATGGCGTTAGCTTTCTTTCAACATATTTCTACATTTACAACTATTGTTTGTCGATGCTGGACATACATAGTGCATATTCAACCCACCTCAGTCAGTGTAGATTTACTGCCTGATCAATTGATTTTCTATTTTCATCTGGTACTCTGCATCTAAACTTCAACATTGCTCACTCGATGGTTCAAGCATACACAAGCAGTGCTTAGAAAGCATATGTGATCAAATACTACTAACCTGCGAATATTCTCAATTTTTAAAGGCCATATTTCAGTGCACTTTGCTGTTGTACATATGTATGTTGATAGAGATTAGAACTCACAACTCGTTGACTCGAAGTTGAATTTCTAAACCTCGAAGCAACCGCTCCATAGTCAATTAGTGCTATCACTAGCTATCACCTTACATAAACAGTGTAGTTAAAAGCCGAGTATACAAATCTTTATATTTTGGCAAATGACTTACTGTGGTATTAAAATCATGAGTATAGAAGCTTTGTTACTTATAAAAAGTATAAATATGAACAACCCTTAAGTAATTTTAGCCAATCATATAAGGGAACTGTTGTTCCATGTGCTACTTCAAAGTATTTTATCATTGATTTTTCTGTTATCTCCCCCCACTTACCCATCAGCTGATCAAACTAGACCTCAACAACAACAACCTTATATGAATGCAGTAAATCAACAAAATCGATTTCCCAGCAACATGTCATTTCCACCAGGTCTTAACAACAATAATCAGTCGACATTACCTCGTCCCAATACAATGCTCCCACCTCATTCATCTTCTTGGTCAGATGTACGTTTTTCCGAACCATCAAGTTCAAATATTCCTGCTGGTATGTCCTTAAGATTATAGTGTTTTTGTACGTCTGCTATTAAAAAAGATACACTACATCCGTTTTTAAACTGCGTTTATTACATCTTCTGTAGTGTTAACTAACTAAATGACTAACCTGTTTTGCCCCCCCCCTTTCTCATACAATATATTTTCCATAATTATATCGGTTTAATTATTGACTGAGGTTACCTTCACAATATGTTATATAAAAGCGAACAAGTAAACCAATATATATGAATGTTCTATACCGCACAGTGTCGATACCTTTTTGTTAAACTCTTATAAATTGTCTTGTATGAAGTTTAAAAACAAAGCGATCTCGAATGTTGTTGGAGGTATGAAAGTATTTTTCATATACCAGTTGCTCACACCATGAAAGAACACTTGAGGGATCTGAAAATAAAACTAGATTAGAAAAGAGATGGTTTTGACGACTTGAAAGCGCGACTGTAGAGCCCAAAGAATAACTGTTTGAGATTGATCACACACGCCCTTTTTGTGAGCATTTGTCAATGTGTTACCTTCATACTTTTCTGACTTTAGCTCTGGGATTGGAAATCTTCGGAGCAAAGTAGTGAACTACTTTAAGGGCCGATCTTTTTTAGCCCCTTACTTTCGTTGTGCAAAAGCAGTATCGCCGTAAATGCTAGTTGTCTGAGGGGAACACCTTATCGGCATCACGCCACTGTATATTCAGCAGTGAAATTAAACCCCTGGATGATGAGTTTACTGCTTTAAACCCTACCGCTCTTAAACTAGTATACTTGGTATGATCGACCTGAAGGAACGGATGTTTCTGCTAATATGTCTGGATTAGGCCATCATTCCACGCACTCGTATTATGTACATGATCTCTGTATGATAAGTACACTAGATGAGCTACTGCTAGCTTCAAAAATTTTTTTAAAAAAATGCATGAACTAATGAGAATTGTTTATGGAGATAATATACATTGAAATCAATCAACTCTTTGGATCAAGTGTATTGTACAGTTAGGACTGTAAAAACATCAAGGATAACCCTAGATCGGAACAAACACTAACTGTCCTTGTTATAGAACAAAATCGAACGTCTACACCACCTATTGTACTTTCCGACCGCTGATCGACTATCTAATGGATTGTTAATGAACTGGATGATATAAAGACGATAAAACCTGAAATGATAAAGACCCTAACTTTTGTGAAATTCCAAAAATGTGTTCAACAAAAGACATTTAGATGGGACAATTGTATTGCAATAAATGGGAAATATTTTGTAAGGGATACGATTAATCTATCCTATAATCTCGTAATTGCATATCGATTGGTTAGACTAAGTATAATACAACTGTTACTTGATTCAGCTATTAAACTAAATAATACAACGATCTATAACAATATTTACACGATCTTGTATTACTTACAGTTATAGAGTTCTAATTGCAAATAGAAAATATTTTGTAGCTAATTATTGTTCAACTGCTACAATGTACGACAATTCAAACTTTTATATTAACTCACTTTTGATGAAATGAAGAAACTGTGCTATAGTCTTTGTTTACATGCCATTAGGTTGACTAATATCTTAGCTTAAATCTGGGAGTTGGACGTTATCCCATCTGACTGGTCGCAATCACTGATTGTCTCAATAGATAAGAAGGGGTCAAAATCATCCTGTGATAACCACAGACGGACTAGTTTGACCATTATAGCATCTAAAATACTGACCTCAATGATTATCAGACGCCTAACTAAGACTTGTGAACTGGTCGTGGCTGCATCGACCACATATTCACTATTCGTCAGGTTCTACAACACAGCCATACTTATCGGTGTCCAACATTGGTGGTCTTTCTTGACTTGAAAGCAGCATTTGACTCGGTAGACCGTGAGATTCTGTGGCAGTGTCTGTCATTGAGAGGCGTACCTCAGAAGTACATAAACCTTGTGAAGGCTCTTTACTCGAACACTACCAGTCGAGTGAAAGCTTATGGCGAACTGTCATCTGGTTTTGTAACCTCAAGTGGTGTCCGTCAAGGCTGCCCACTTTCTCCATTTTTGTTTAACTTCATCATAGACCTATTGATGGAAATAACATTCTCGTCGACTGAATTCTCGAGCACTGATCTCCTACCAGGAGGTCCATTTAGAATACGCAGATGACATAGTCCTGTTTGGTGAAGACGCTGATAAAATGCCGAGTCTTTTGGTAGTACTAAGCAACAATGCCAGAATGTTTGGAATGCACTTCTCTCCCTCTAAATGCAAGTTGTTTCTCTAGGACTGGTCTGCGTCAACACCTGAACTAAGGATAGGGAGATCACCGGGTAAGTGATAGTGAGGTTAGATGTAGGGTATTAGAGGATGATGGTAAATCAGTTGATGAGGTTGTGAATCTTCATCGATTGAGATGGTTGGGCCACGTGTTACGTATACCTGAACATCGATTACCGCGTCATACGATTCTGACTAGTGTAGGGGATGGTTAGAAGAAAGTTAGGGGCGGTCAAACGAAAACGTGGCATCAATGCTTGAAGTCACTCACTTCTAGCCTAAGTCGTGTTGGTAGATGCAGACTACTTGATTGGAATCCGTGTGACTATCGCAACCAGTGGTTGGAGACTGTGGATGAAATGGCTCAGAATCGATCGATCACAGTGGTGTAGATGTATACACTCTTTGTCTTCCCTTAAACTGTGAGATTAAAATTACTTTCTATCTTTCTTTCCTTGTTTCTTACTATACAAAAAATTACCCGTCATTATCATAAATGAAATTGAATAAAATTTTCATTGTTTTGATTCAATCACTTCATTGTATAAACAATTTGATTTGATGTTTATTCATTTTTATTTAACAAAAAAAGGTCATTTTGTTCAATCCAATCAAATTCCTCATATTCCATCCAATTCAAATAATAATAATACGTCTTCATTGAGTTCTTATGAAATGCAATTAACTCAAAAAACATTTATATCTCCTCGTCCACCTGGTCCATTGTTCACATGTCAACAATCTGGACTACGTCAACAAATACAACAACGTTTACCATTACCACCACCACCACAACAACAACGACATCCTCATCATCAAGTACAATTGGAATCGTCTGGATTTCGTCCAATGGGGTCTGGATTACCATTGAATAATTGTAGAATACCAATGAATAATGATGGTATTCTCGGTAGTGCTAATCCTTCTACTGGTGTCATCAGCGGTGGTGGTGGTGGTGTTATGCATATGCAATGGTCTAATAACAACAGTAATCAAACAACTATGCCACCGATATCTTGTAATCCTAATGCTTTTATGCTTAATTCAGGACAAATGAAAACATTTAATCGACCAATGTTTCCACCTCGTGTTGTCGGCGGTGCTATTGTCGCTCCTCCCGCTCCACCACCTCTCGGCGGCGGCGGTGGTGGTGGTGGTGGTGTTATTGGCTTACCCTTTCGATATCGAAATTTTTCTAGAGGTGGTTTTCCTGGACGATGATGATAAGTTCACAGCTCGCTTGGTTGTAAATGTGTATATTTATGTTGAAATACTTGATTTGCAAAGAAAGAAAAATACTACAATATGTGTACATATCGTTTAAATGGAGATTAAATAGCGGTAATAAACCCTGATAAATTACAGATGCAAATTTGGGATTATGCAAAGATTTGTAATAGTAAATAAGAGTAGTAGTATTAGTACTTACTTTATTGTGACACTATTTGTTAATCGATTATAATAATTAGTGTTTTTATCTACGCTTTCTTCTTGACAGATGAGTGTACATATCTATCTATTTGTAATGTAGAGAGAAATAAATGAGCACCATTGTTTATATATGTCCGTAAACTGTTTTTCTTTTTGGAAGGGGGGGGGAGGGAGCACTCATAAAATAAATATGTATTCTGTGTAGTAGTAGTTGTTCACTTTTTGGGACTGTGTAACCAACAACAACAAAAAAAAACGACGGGATGTTTACTCGGTACGTAACGTTTATTTATCTGTTTTGTTTGATGTGATCAAGTTGTGTATGTAAGTTTGTGTTGAAATGTGTTTAACGCGTCTTTCCATGATGTCTGAAGCCTTTAGGGTTCGAACACTAACAAGCTTGTAGTTTTGCACTGCTGAGTCATCATACAGACTAGGATGAAACAGCTTGTATTTCAGTCCGAACAGCTAATTAGTATTATAAGTCTTTAACACAGTGTCACTCAAAGCTGGATGCATAAACCATAAATGTGGGAATGGCAGTTGAATACAACGATAATTCAAATGTTGGAATATGATCATAGATCAAGAGTATTAGATAAAATAACAATTTGATTCATAAGGTTATGATAGTTCAACGACTTTAATGGTTAAGCATGCGTAATACATATCCTGAAGTTCGACTAACTCAACGTACAATGCTAGATGACATAAGGGTAAGTTATGTTAACGGTGTTCAAGTAGAGAATTGGCATCGATTTATTTATTCTGAAGCATATGAGTAGTAAGTGGATTGGTTAGTTGGATCCCTTAGGATATTCATTGTCTATGATTGAAGACACTGAGTGTTTGTATCATTCATGACTTGAAATAAGTCTGAGTGATACAAAGTTCGCATTGATTATCTACCTTCCTCTAAATTTCGAGTTCATTGTCATTCTTCAGTCTTATTAATTCTCTTTTGTACTGTATTTTTTTGTTAATGTTTAATTTATTAATGCAATTGAAATGAACTCTATGTCTTTGCTTTTCATCTTGTTCATTGAATTTCTTACTTTGTTTGATATAAGACATTCGATGGATAGACAACATTCCATCTTAGATCTTTTACAAATTTCCAATAAATCAGAGAACTCAAGAATAACATCGTTCAGGAAAAAAAAAATAAATCAAATTGATTTCCAAAAAACTTATCAGCTCTTAATGTATGGAAAATGTTGTCTAATGTAGAAGTAGACTGACTAGAAGAAAGCTAAGAATGATCAAATCAAGATGTGACACCGGTTTTTGAAGTTATTGACAATGATAGCTATTTGAATAGATGGAGTTGGGATTCATGTGATTATCATAACCAATGATCAGAGACTGAATGATATAGCTCAGAGTCGTTTGCAATAGCGCATGTACATTCTGTCTTTGTCTTCCCTGAGAATATGAGTCTTTATATTCCTTCATACCTTTTATCTTTATACTTAACTATTTTTCGCTGTGCTAATACAGAATGGCAATTTGAAACGATACACATATACTTCACATTCTATGTTGCACAAAACGTGGCATCAGTGCTTGAAGTCAATAACTTCTAGTCTGAGCCATGTTGGTAGATGCGGACTACTTCCTTGGGGTCCGCGTGACTATCGTAACCAATGGTTGGAGACTCTTAGTGACATGGCTCAGAATCAATCACAATGGTGTCGATATGTACACTCTCTGTCTTTCCTTAAACTAAGAGATTAAAATCGCTTCATATCTTTCTTTCTATGAACTGATTCTTTCTTTCTGTATTATATCCTCATATGCAATCTTTCTTTTATATATTACCACCTCTGAATTAACAACTTTTATGAATCCTGTGTCCATCTTATTGTGTTAATGAATGAGGTATGTCAACTTGGATCGATGCATATATGTGCCTGGTCTTACGTTGTAGTTAACTGACTGATGTAAGAGAAAAATGTAAAATCCCGGACGAATGTATTGCTTAATTTAAGCAAGTTATCTGTATTTGTTGAATTCAATATAGTAGTGTATAACTAACTTTATTAATCTGTTACAAAGGGGTACCAAAGTGTATATTCGTCACACAAAAAAAAATGAGATTGTAAAGAGATAAAGAAAGAAAGGTGAATAAGACAAAATGAATAGAAATTAATGTCTCAATAGAAAAAGTAATAACGGATGAAACAGTTCATTCAACAAAAAAATACGATCAGAAATAATTCTTTCTGTTAAAGTAATTCCTCTGACTTACAACATAAGAAAATTGCCACCACTGGCTTCTACTCTAAACCATCCTCTGATAATGTCTCAAGACCACTGTTCTGGATTATCTTTTCAGATGAACCTCGTCATCGAGTAGTCTAATTAAAATACAGGTATTATAGATTATATTAAGGCTTCATATGGTTTATATATATATATATTTGTAGTTCAAGATCAAGATAGATCTCATGCAAATACTGGTACATGTGATCAATCGTTTGAAGCCTTTAGTTAGATGCTTAAAAAAAAATCAATTTTAATCTGTTTCATAATCTCTATGTTATAATTAACTGATAAAGATTGTTGTATTTGTTACTATTCTGTTTAGAAGAATTAAATCTCATTAATTTCTATCTTAAAATAAGATTCTATTTCTAACAGCTTTTCTATTCATAATTGGTGTACAATTAAATTACAATCTAGCCCCCAAATGCCTTAGTATGGCCGAGAGTAGGGAGAGTCCCCTCTCCCTCTCGAAATGCTTTCACATGGCCACGCGTATATAGCCTCTGCCAGGGATGTCCTACTCACTGCCTTCTCGGGGCGGTGGTGTTGTTTACGAAAATGAGAGGACGAAGAGCGAATGTTCGACGCTTTAACCGGATTCCAAACCAATGGTGCACATGGGCTCCAGTATCCTGTGGGAACAAATGGCGTATGAACCAATTGTTGGTCACTGGCTACCATGGAACTGCATCTCCTTACGATGCTCCATTGCCTTGTGGATCAGACCTTCAGCTCGAAAGCTCGGAGAGAGTGGCCCTTTAAGAAAACCACTTGCTTCGGTTTGGGCACTCAGGCAATATCCTAGCCCTCACACAAATCTCATTTGATTTATGTGGCGCATATGTATTTGGTGCCTCCTTGTACCAATATCTTTGTGTTAAACTAATAAAATAAATTACAATCTATCTTGTTATCATTATAACACAATCACATTGAATGAAGTAAAGCAAAAGATTTTTTTTCTCTTATAATCCTTAACTTCTTAGATAATCCACAATGTATGTTCCATCAGAATAGCTCATCATCTTATCAAGTCATTAAAATCGTGTTTAAGCAAATTGTACAACCAATTGAATATCTCTAATCTCGTCTAGGAATTGAGATAAACTACTTTCTAATGATTGTTAAATTAATCCTGGTTCTGCAGAAAGTCTGTATTAGCATACCTAGTTAAGTGGTATATATTTGAATCACCAAAGCAGAATTTGGTTATGTGTTAAAAAAACAATGAACTATGGCTTTGGTGAAGTTTTGTTCACTGAGCTGGATAGTTTGATCGTGGATCTTTCATCGTTCTTCTGAACGACATCATCAGCAACACAAACTTCAGATAGAGAAGTTTGTGATGAAATCTCCACGACCAAACCTCATCCAGCTCAGAGAAAAAAAAACTCCACAAAAATCATCCATCTGTGCTACAAATCTTCTACATCATCTCAAAATGAACTATGGCTTATCGATTTCGAGTCTATAATTCAATTTAGCTTAGAGCAACACTGTTAAAAGTGTATAGACCAGCTGATACTTCTTAACTACTTGGATCGTGAATATTTTTCAGAGAGAATTCATCAATAGTAAATGAAAGTTTCTCTATTTTTCCTTGGTCTGTTGTATAACCTTAAACTTTATATTTGTATTGTTATGCTATTCAACAATATACAACTACTCGATTATCTTGCAATCTCTTGGTAACATAAACATGTGAATAGTCATTTTACTAATTGGGTTCTGTGTAGGGAAATTGTTAGTTGATATGGATAGGATAAGTACTTCGGTTTTTTTTGGGTTCCATTTCTGACAAAATATGGATGTACACTGTTGAGAAGTTACAATTGTCCAGCGCTATCTATCCTTTAATAGTTGTCCAGATGAAATCAGTTTTTGATCTGAGTGTTATGTTATTGTCAATAAGATTTTCCGAACAAATCACACTTATCACGGTTTGTAATCACAAACATCTTAATGACCCAAGAGTTATTCATTGTTCATTTAAAAAGTATAATCCAATACAAAATTAATCCTAGTATTGTGTAATTTTAGGATCAGTTATAGTTACATACTCATAGTCTATTATTTATTGGGTAAGTTAATCAACAACATACTATATGTGTAAAGACCAGATTTAGTTGATGCAATTACAAATGATTTGAGATAGATTACAAGGCCGTATAGTTTACATGAGTACTAACCATCAGCAATTAGACTAGTGACTGGTGACGAACCAATCAGATTCAAGATAACAAGTCTTAGATTTTGGCACGAAATTCACTCAATCCATTTGACTAAATAGTTCTAGCATTATAATTGATATCAGTTGGTAATAAAAATTTCTAAATCTACTTCCTAACCATTAACTGTAAATCATAAT